CCTTGACCATGATGTGTTACATTATAATAAAAGCACTATACCACGAGTATTCATAAATCCAATTCGACCCAACCGATGCCAACATAATACCACAAAGCCTGGATTTGAAGGAGTGGTTGAGCTGGAATTGATTCAATGGTTCATGGCTTTCAGCCGGTTCTATAGTTCAAATGAAGTCTGGCGGTATCGATCCAACCAGTGACTTGCTCATTTTCACATATCTGCTTCGTAATCTACCAACTGTTACCGTTTTTTCAATTACCGACCAGCCTGGAATTGAGCATGATATTATTTGTCGCAGTTATGGTCCATAACCGACTCTTACTAGTTTAGGTTTATATATATCCGTCCAAACGTGCTCTAGGCCGAAAATTGGCGCAAAGATATCTCGGTGTTCAGTTCAATAGGATCCTAGTAAATGCCCTTTGTACAGCGGTGACCTACTACATAGCATAGTAGTGCAGTAGAAATGCGCTACGAAAGCAGAGCACAGGCAACATACTCGTGCTCCTCCCAGTTCCAACAGTCTGTATTAACTACATATCTTGTGTGCTTCAATAAAGAGGAATAAACAGAGTTATCTGTCCCAAACCTTATATATTTTATTGATATGAAAGCTTTATTTCACATCATATGCGAACACATAATTATAAAATCTCTGGAGTAATCAGTTACAAAATATTCCCTCTTCATACACGATTCGCACACTAGGTGATTATCCGAAGTAAGTCATGTAATACGGTGATATTGCATAAAATGAGAGATCAAATTTTATGCGTTTTTTCTTCATTTCCTTCGAGAATTGCACGGAGTTTCTTTGAAAGCTAATTGAAAATATGTACCAGTTCAATTGATTTAACTTCATTATCAAAATGATTAGAAGTGCAGAAGGTTTTAGGAGTATTGATGGATGGAAACTCTAGTAAATGAGCGGTTTCAACAGACCACAACTGCCTTTTCCCTGATCCCCTGCATGTTGTTAATGACGAAGCTTATGATGTGTCGAAAATTATACACATCAACATTACTGTGATATCGGGTGCCGATAAGTTGTAGCTCTGAGAAATTTTGTATGAATTAAAAGATGATATTTTAATTACCACTTTGTTTTGCACGAGTGATACGAGCATTGCCGTACGTAAAGTGAGGAGACAAAGCATTACTCATTCATGTATGAGACTGACACAGAGGCTAGGAATTGGAGTGAAGAAACCCGGTAGACAAGCTGAAAACTTTATATCCTTCAATAGAGTCCGGCAGAGTGTATAAACTTTCACCTGAATATTTGACATCTGTCACACCATATCCTCAATCACAATGTCGCTAGGTCAACAGGCCCTATTTTAATTTTCAGGCAGTCACCTAAGTACCGTAAATTATTACCGCTTCATTAGTATCCCCCAAATCTATCCTCTTGTAGATAAGGTCCAGCTCTAATACCTCGTCATCCCCCAAATTCCTCAGAACTGTACATGTAGCTGCATCGGACAGTCTTCTTGCCAGGATCTTACAGCCTACTTGCAATTGTACCAGCCTAAACAAAGACTGAATTCGTGGTAAAAAAATACTCGATGTCGAACTTAGATACCCCATCTAGCATAACCACTAAGAAAGCGAAAAATTACAAATGCACATTGCCTAACTCGGCTGTAAAGGGGGATTGTCAGTGTACTTGAAGATTGAACGGTCAATTCATGGTTGTTTGCTCAAACCCAATTCCATATTTTCGCGGGAGCCATCGTCTCATCGTTCGCTGTTTGTTTGAAGAGAGAAAACCATCAGAAGTGTTATTGTGAATTATTGTTATAACATTTACTCTTAGACCTTGTGTGTAATATCCCTATTGTTGGTTACATATCGGCGCAAGAATAAAGTATTCTCGAATCGCCACTCTGGTTTTTCGCGTTGGTTATTACGCATTGTTGCTGAAAGTCTTCCAAGGACAGTGTGAAGTCCAGTGTAGTAAAACCTGGACATTGACCGTGTCATGGTCCAACTAATATCTGGCCCAGAAAAATTAAGCTTTCTGCCAATCTTACCAGCGACACATCATCAAACAAACACTTATAGGCACACCACAATATACCAGCTACTTTACAGAAGGATATCAGATGTTGTGAATCTGTGTTGGTCAACAGAACAGGGCTGCAACTAGAAGAGAACACTCACTCCACAATTTCTCACACACTTAATCCATCTAACCTAGCGAATTATTATGAGCTCAGATACTCTGTCCTCATCCTTCACCACTTCAAACTAAGGTAATGCCATATATGGTTTGTGTCTAGAACATTATATAAAACAGTGCTACCTATGAAACATGGCGTAATAAACGAATCAAGTGAACTCTTTTATTGAGAATCTATTTTCAACATGTTCTACTTTGCGTTAATTACCGTTATCGGCTTTTCATAAGTTTCCATGTATTAACACAGCGTATCGGATTCACAGGGAACATCAAACAAGATGTGGTTAGCGATGCAAACAACGTATTCAATATGCAATCCATGCAAGGTAACTAATCAGTTGATAAGTAATCCAAGGTAAAAATAATTTGAATATAGGAACAGAAGGGTCAGCGGAAAGTCTCTTTTCGGCCAGTTCATTCACTTAGCCTTACAGTCGAATCTATATATAGTTATTTGTGTATGTATACATTAGGATCGTCGAATAAAAATAAACATTAGCTAGAGTTATTGTTCACTTCATCAAAATGTTTTAAGAATGTGATGAATGATCACATTGTAGCCAGATCGTGAAGATTGGTAAGTATTGATAAGGGTTGCGTAATATAAAATAGGATGTTAGTGAGAAAATATGGAGACAAGTGTCCAAAATACATTATGTAATAGGTAGAAGGGATAAATAAAGGGTTGGTTAAGAAAAGTGGTGTCGTGCCAGTGTCGCCCACTATCACATCTTTGACACAGCCGACAAATTCAAACGTGTCTCTGGGAAAGTATTTTGAAATTTTCTCTCTAACAGACTGTAGACTTCTGCTACCCATTTCTCACCTGTATGTTTTGAAGATCCGGAAATGTCCAAAATAGAGAGCTACGGAGGTCCCTGTTTTTGAGTATTCAGTTTACAACTTAGTAACATCTGTAATATCTGTAACCTGTACTGATGGAAAGAGGGACCTAGGAGTGATTTTCGCTAGTCTTTTATCACATTCAGCCTTTTGCGAAGGGAACTACTGCTGTTATAAACTTTCAATATCTGGAAAACGAGACTTTTCCTAAATGCTTATTAAGACGCTTTATCACTTCGCTTCTGAAAAAGATTTTGCTTGTCCCCTTCCAATTCAATGGATGCAAGAGTGAAATCATGAGCAATAGGATAAATGGAAAACATGAGTCTTAAAGTCCAGTAGGTGATTGCTGATACTGACACAAGGATAAGGAAAACGCGGAAGCAGTGATAGACCAATTAAGGAACGTCATCACCGGTAGTATTAGCTCCTTTTCGCTACCTGAGTGGAATGATGCACAGTAAGCACAATAAAGGGTCTAAACGATGTTCTTCAAACCAAAGACCTGTTAGTCCCACGAGCAGCTTGATCAAGATACTGGAAGGAGTAACCAAGACAACTGTCATAACATATCTGGAAACAACATTTCAACCAGTTCTTAGTGTCTGGCAAAACTTCCAACAGCAAGGGGAACCCTAGGCGGGATTTCAACATAGCCTTCGATAAAGTGCCTAACAAATGCCTGCTCAGGAACCTGGAAATTCATTGAATGAACAGCAGTCCATTCCATCAGGTCAAGGTATTCTGCATATGTAGGAGAAGGAGAATCAGGATGAATTCAGAGCTGTTCATAGACAATGACACTATTGTTGTTTCACAGGGTACTATGTGAGGCATAGTCTTACTCTGTGTATCAACGAAATACCTGCACCTACTGAACCTCTAACCTCGACACAGACGAACTACACATTTGGATCACTACTAAATTCAGGTTGCTCTGATCTCTGGGAACTTCCGGATTTGTCCAAAGAAGTGATAACCGCTATGAACTTGACGAAGTACGCAACCATTTGCAATGGTCATGGAGGTGTCAGCGCGTATGACATGTAGGGAATACCACTTCAATCAGTTCACATACGCACAGATCTTGGTGTCATCATAAATCATGATTTGACACTGTCACTTGGGGACAGCCTGCAGGTCTGCATCATAATTACCAGCGATAATCAGGGCCTTTACCTGGACCACCTATGAAATTCTCACTACTTTACATGCATATTCAATGGGATCAAAACTAAAAACCTGCCTATAGATACCCAAACCTCGACTTAGGAAGGATAAGTATTATCTAGAAACAGTCCAAAGGAAGGCCGCACGTATATAATGGCTAACTTCTCATGCTTTGAAAGTTCAAACCATTACTTCTAATGATAGAAACAGATGGAGATTTCCCTGTAATATTCAAAAATCTTGGAAATGACTATGACTAATCTCTGTATTTCTTCATATCAGGCCGGAGGATCACAGATGACCAAAAGTAGAGTTCAAGATCCAAGGATTGACTGTATGGATGAAGAGTACTCGTTTTTCCACTTGTGCCTCAATATCTAGGTACCGATTGTCTGAATAAGTGTTGTCTGCACCAGTAAATGACGCTTTCAAAAAGAGGTTAGACTAGGACAGATGCTTATGAGAAAAGGATAACACATGCTGGACGTCTTCCATCCTCGGTAGAATACACTGAATCTGAAATATAATATATTACGGCTACAGTCAGTGAAGTGGATGCTGGACATTGGGGATATTATATGAATTCTTGCATTAATGCCACTCTGGTATTAAGTATTCTTTTTGGAAAACTAATTTCACGACGATAAATAATCTCGGTTTTTATTTGTTCAAAGTCGGATAATTGAATACTGAATAACCTCATGAAATAGTGTATATATAGGGAGATGATAACATGTGCTTTGTTTGCACTACTACAAACGTCCTTTATTGTAGCAACGCGTAGCGGCAGTTCGAGAAGATGCATGCGTTTTTCGTATTACTTTTCTTGTCGATTCTTGAGACTGCGTTTTCACAAACAAACTTAGGTGAGACGACTTCAAAATCTTAGCATTAACCAATTAAGAGGTTGGTGGTATCAGAGCTGTACGCCTGGCTGCCGGGACAAGTATTTATCCAGAAAAACGCGATGGTGTTTTAGAGGTTAATTACAATGGAACTTGGGGGACGATTTGCAATATCGGCTTTGACGAGTTGGCAGCATCGGTTGCATGTTTCATGCTTGGATTGTAAGTCTCTAGTTTTTTTCTCATTAGTTGCAGTCCGCCTCGTGGTGTACCTATAATGAATAGCCAACGACAAAGCCCTAGTTCCGCACCTTTGCTATCTGAATTTAACTGTACTGGAAGAGTAGTACTGCCTTCAAGCTCGCCAAGTACTGCGACTGTTCACTTGGGTGTCTGCTCTTTCTCCAATGAGCTTCCTTCTGTATGCAAGACGACCAATAGACAGACGTCTATTGTTTGTTTGGACCCCGCTGAAATGGCGACCACAACCACACCTGTTCCAAACTATATGACTCTAGCTCCCGTCAACTGTAAGTTCCTTATGTAGATTTTGCCTATTTTACATCGTATTTAGAGAGTTGATACCATTAGTGCACACCAGTTGTTATTATTTCTTAATATATCCTATTAAACTATTAAACTATAAAGCTATTAAACTCACATACTGTTTTTCGTTTTCGCTTGTTTCCTAGTACCTAGATGTAAGGTAAAAAAACATTATGTGGTATACAAACAGTCACGAAATATATTGTTTTTGTAGGTATTCACCTAAAATATACTACAGCCTGTCTGTACCATTTAATTCACTTTGTGTCTGCTTCAGGCTAGTCCATGACTTCATACATCGGCGTCTTTATATTAACCCATTTATTTGAATGTTAGGGTTCCCGTAAGATGGCGTTTTACGAACCTGTGAGTAAACAACATTAAGTAAATCAGGCGAAATGCATGTGTAAATATGAGTATTTTGCATTGTGATATTTTTGACGTTTTTTTCATTGTCTATTTTGACGAACACTTAGTACACATAGGAAGTGAAATATCTTTATATGTAATAACATGAACTCTATATTCATAGTGTTTTTCAGTATATCATTATGCCCACCGATTTACTTTTCATTTTGACTTTTTGTCTGCAGTAAAGATATATGCGATTTTTATGCTTATCAGCTACTTAGCGTACAGTGTACACGGTTCAGCTGTTGGTATAATTGGTTATTATGTTTTTAAATGTACCGTTTTTTAATCAGCGTACGATAATGTTTAGTTACTAAATTAGCTTACTGTTGCTATGCTACTCTGACATCCACACTGAAATTCATCTTAGTAGAAGAACACCTCTATTGCTTATGAGCTAGTGATTTCTTTATCTTTAAGCAGGCATTTTGTCTATTCACTTCAAGCGTCAAACGTATGTCCAGCATGTTGCGAATTCAAACCAAGTCCCACCTACACTGCCTTCAACAACTGCATTGTATAATGACTTATTGGATTGGGTTATAATCATAGTCGTTTATTGCACAAATGTTTATCTGAGCACCGAATTTATACTGCGATTAAAATTATTTTGGTTTTTTATTATAATTAGTTTCACTTCCCATGATAAAATGCGAGTGAGTATATTAATCGTTGTAACTCCAAATCAGATTTTATCTGTTGCTTCGACTGAGTATTCGGATGAAATATGTCATTTCTTATAATTAACATAACACTTTTGTTTACTTTTTAATGAGTATATTATACATGTCAGCTTGCTTCCTAAATTCGAATATAAAATAATATAACATAGTTTATTCAAAAAAATAACATGTATTTCACTGTTTCCCTCATTTTTACACCGGCTATTTTCGTAAACATGTTGGAGTAGTAAGGCAGCAATAATGTTTTGAACTCCTAATAAATAATTACCTGACGGTTTGAACTTAGATTTTTATAATTTCTGAGATTCACTTTCTTATTGACTATCTGTAAATTGAGTGCAACTACCTTCTTTGAAGTAGTATTCACTTTGTCTGTTTTAGTACTGTCACATCACTGTTTATTTATGTCTATTCTACCATTTCTAGATATGTGGTTATGAACTGACACAGTGTATAAAGGTTTTGTATCTTTATTTCTGCAATCCTAGGTCCTTCGTTAGACTTATTGATGATGAAGTACAATTAGTTCAAAAATGGTTCTTTTTATTTTTTACTTCTTTGTATTAACGGTTCTCATAGCTTGGAATTCATTGTATTCCTGATAGTATTTTTTATAGCTGAAATATTCCTGGCTACTTTTAACTATATTATACCATGTCATACCAACCGACGATTTAACAAGAAAAATCCTGCTTTAGTGCTTATTTTTTACTAGTTACATATTGTGCGTGTTCAAGTATTATTATATCCGACTTTCCCCTCTTTCTCTTGTTGATTTCAATGTGTTTATCACTAGAATGTTGGATGTTAAATTCTTTCTATTTGGTAGTTGACAACTGAATGCAATCAGTAATTTTATTTTAACTTCAACCTATCTTACATCACTTTTAACACGGAATTCCTGAACTGTCAGGCTAATGATCCATGTGGGGCACATCTTGTATAGTAGCCTTCTGAATCCATTCTCTTCTGTTACTTGTAGTATCCGGCAATTTTTACTGCCCAAGACTGTTGTGTATGATTGGAAAATTACACATTTCGAGGTGAGAGTTTACCATGGTTTTCATTCCAAAATAAAATTATTCAGATCACAGTATTATGATATTGTCGTTATCAAACGAGTGAAATGACAGTTCATTGTTTAGATCCCTTCAGTCTAGATAGCGAACAGCATTAATTGACGTGAGTCATCTTCAACCACTCATGTTGATCAGTATTGTATACATACCAGCATAAGCTTGTTTTGTAAATCCCAGTTAACAATTCCAACATGATTATGTGATTTTTTAAAATGGTATTTGCTTTTATTTGAAAGTAACAGAACAGATGTACTTGACCTCATCATAAAGGATGAAGAAACTCACCTGTCTGTCTTCTCTTATATATAATTTTTCTATATTCAGTTATTCTTCTTATTCATTCCTTGCGTTCTAAATGAACATGTGGCTTCAACTGCACGTCTTTATCCTACTCTGTTCTCTGCCTAACTGGTTGTTCACCATTCGGATTACACACGAGGTCGTTCATGAATTGTGGTGTCGCTTGAAGTTTTCATTAGTGTTTGTTCAGTCTATCTTCATTTCCTTTTGCATATATTTGGTGGGAGATAAGTTGTCGGTTTGTTTTCTGTCTACCAAAGAGTCCCTTATCTTTGCTTATCCTTCCTCGCTAGCTCTGATTTTCAGTCCCTTGGAAAGGCATTTATTGATGATGTTGAAAATGCTTTTGCTGACATGAGCATGAGTGCAAAGTGTCTGAACCATATAGAAACACTGACTTGCCATTAGTGTTGAAAATTCCGATCTCGTTCAGTGTGCTTTTAATGCTTTACAACATCACTCTAATTACTTTCCAGAATTTGGCTTTCAAAACCTTATCCATTGACAAAATCAACTAGATGTTCTCACTAAAAAATAAGTTAAATGTTTGGTAGATTAGTTGATAAACTGCCAGATTGGTAATTCAAAGGCTACTAATTTGGTTTCTGTCACGACTTAAATTTCAGTTTTACTCCTTTAGTCATAATCCCCTGCATCCATTTGTAAAATTAAAAAAAACGACTGTTGTTTGTGTTTTAAATAGGTTGATATATACTCTGACTAAATTTATAAGACACTTCTAGCTCAAGGTGAAGATGTAAATTGTTTACTGCACTTCGAACTCTCAAAGTATTCATTTATTTGATTGTCGACGTTTCACTATCAAGCTTGATAGCATATTCAGCACTGGCTTCATTATTGAATGAATGTACACTTTATTTTATATTCAAATAATTGTTATTGACTATAAGTTTCCAGACTGTAGGTGTTACGAACTTCCTGAAATAATTTGACGTTCTATTTATCATGAAACTTAATATTTATAAAAACGAAAAATGAGTTTCTGAAACATGATAGCAAAAATTAGTAAATAAAATGGAAATAAATGGAGAATGCAAATGAAAATTCTGAGGTACCAAGTACTGTTAGTATATTGAATGCAAAACCTATTCTTATGCACAGAATTATCTGACATCTGATAACCAATATGTTTGAAAATATTCTCTCCCTGTTTTTAAACAAAGTTATTATGGTAACAGTCGTTTTAAACGTTTCTATCTCTCCCTCTCTCTGTCTCTCTTATGTCCGTTTGTCTATTTTTCTATTCGTCCTTCCACTATAATATGCTGCTTCAGGCGTTATACTCATCTCAAGAACAGCAGTAGTTCAAATTAAGGGTAACTGTTAACAATGTGTTTTAATATAGAAAAACAAATTGACGACACTACACATTATTGTCTTTTTATTTAGGCGTCTGTTTTAAAATGTTGCATGTATGGTTTTTTATGTATAATATTGAAAAAGTAAATTTACTAGGACTCTAATAATATTCAGCTAAGGTTAGTTCTTTTCCCAACAATTTTATTATCATGCTGCATAATCAGTCGTATAGGTATATGATTTCTCAAAAAAACCTGTCTCCAGTACGAAAATTTAAATACTAGGCGCCAATAATAATAATGTTAATAGTTTCAAGCTAGATCACGGGCTGACATCAGTTAGAGAAGTATTGAAAACTAGCAGGGACTACTGGAGAACTGTTTCAGCCTGCTTTGGGACTTTTCAACGGTATACATTCCTAATGCGATTGGAGATCGAATGGATTTATGCAGAAGGTATACTTCTGCTGATTAGGTTATTCCTTGTGATTTTCAAAGTCTTTTTGAATAATTTTATAGTAATTTAAGTAATAACTTGACCATCTTGACATATTGTAGTGTGTAAATTTACGGCAAAACATTTTCTTTAAATCTCTGCTGCATAATATTTTGAGAGGCCTTAGATCTTAACTCTAGTATATCCATCTCTTCTAACTGCCATTTCTTGAAAATTTTATCCTATTTGTGTTACATGGCATTGCCAATATCTTGTTATTATTTTTCCACTCAGTTAAACGCTTTTTCGTTTGTTTAGCTAAGTTAGGAGGGGGGAGAAGAATTCATTTTTCAACAACAATCCAAACTTGCAGGTCGTTGTATTCCGACCCTAGTAACTGAGGATGGTCAACGAGTTTGGCATTTTAACCGGAAGGCATTGGATTGGATTCCTTAAGAGGGGTTGTGCGTGTGTTACGAATGAAGAGTCTCAAACTAGGGCGAAATAACTACCCAGTGCTCCCTGACACCAATCAGTGTTCAAACTTGGTGGTATTACATAACTTTTTATCAACGCCATTACTTCCTACTGATAGAAGCCTAGTTTCTGTCTTTGTTTCTTTTGCTTAGATATCGCCTATCGCGTATTTGTTTAAATTCATTCATCAGAGTCACATCGTCTATGTCCTAGGTCGAAGGCCACACATATTATGGGTAAAGGCTGAAGTAGGTTAAGGTGGGACCTATTGGCTGAAACAGCCAAATGAAATGAACCAATTCTTCGTTGTGTGTTAGCTGTGCATGTTGTGGCGGAATATTCTTGCCTTCAAATCATTTTCTCGTAAATGATTCATTAACTGTTTAGCTTAGTATTAAAACCAGCCTTTTCTTTGTTAAACGATAAAGGATATGAATACACTAGTAACTAAAAGTTGTCCTTGAATTCATCCTATTAAAACTATTAAAAAAATGATGCTGTCAAGGTTTATTAACAAAAATACTAAAATTAGTTATTTGTATTTGTAATTTCCCTTGGGATGGAATTAATCAATTACAACATTGAAGTACTATGGGCTTTTTGATGAACGGATGTTTCAATATTATTACTGTGATTACTAACTTGAAGCGAATTATATTGATATGGAATAATACACACAGTTTATTCCTATTCCTATTTAGTACTCTTCAGCTGGATGCTCTGCTTTATTCCCCAGTGAATGAGATGATAGTTTACTCATTGAGATTCGAACGCTGCATCCATCTGACGAGTCCCAAATAGGACGAAACGCTCGTGCTACTATTCCACTGCACTGAAATCACCACAAAAGCTAAGACTTAGATTATCCGCATTTGTATGGGTTCGGATTAATTTGTGTGTAGATTTTGTCTTCAGCTCAGTGTTGGCTAATGGATAGATGTTCTGAAGAACTGTACTGAGAAGTTGTGACCAGAATGGGATTTCACCATGTCAAGATGATGTAATTATTGATCGAAGGTATCGGTCATGCGTGGTAGCGCTATAATATGCAAATTGACGGAAATTTGAATTTACGGGTCACTGGATTCCTGCCTAAGGGATTTAATAATGGTGTTAATGAGCTTTGTCTCTCAACATGAAAGTTCCGGGTTCGATATCTGGTGGTGACGTCTTCAGTGCTCATTACTGATGAGTCACAAGGCAGGACGAAACATCTGCGTCCAGTTCATCCTGATCCCCAATGTTCTGTAAATGATGTTGAATCTTGACAAAGTTTACAATGTAATACTAAAATTGTGTTTAAATAAAATTCCTAGCTCTGTGTATAACTATGCTTAGGAATTTTCAGCTTAAAGGAGGGAAAGTTCAGTCAGACATATATCTTAAGTATAATTTTATGTTTTAATGAGTATAAATACCGTTTAAAAGTACATGTACACACATACGCATCTCATCTACGCTCACACGCACTCAAAGAAAGTCTTAACAGTGATTCCAACTTTATTCCTATCTCACCCTGTCTAAATCACATCAAAATTTAGACAAATGGAAAAAAGGTCAAGTAGTAATAGTAGTAGTGGTTTAAGTGATGACAAAGGCAAGGATCTATGTGATTATTTCGAAGTTTTTACTACAAACTAGCCATTTTGATGATGACGTTGCATATTGGAATTATATGAGCCACTTGTGAAGCGTGTTCTATACATAAAATATGTTCCCACCATCATGGAAAGTGTGAATCATAGTTATTCCTTTCATTGTGTATGAGATTTGCACAGAGAGAGAGAGAACGCATATAGTCTAGATGGTCAAGCATATTAACTTCTTAAAAAAACCATTCAAACGACAGCAGTGATACGCGTTTCTCACCCTTAAGTAGTCGTGCTTTAGTGAATACAACAATTTGTGTTAAACAGGTTTTATGACGTATATAGAGTAACATAGCCAGGATATATATATATATATAAGTTAATTGGAGGATGGTGACTAGCAGTGGAATCCAGGATACGCATTTCGTCCTATTTGGGACTCGTCATTGGATGTGCCTGCATTGTTCATTCCACCAATTAACTTCTCATTGCATTTCCAGACATCGTCGAAGCATCTGCACAAGAAGCCAACAGACATGTCAACGTGAGACCGAGCACTTCGGTCCACTCAATCGACGGGTAAATCTAAAATTCAATTGAATAATTAATATAACCCGTTGCACAAGCGGTGGCTCTCGTGGCCCAAGTGGTCTGGTGGATAACGCTTTGGAGTTTGAAACTATGGGTGCTGGGTTCGAGCCTCGGTGGGAATATCATCGCTCACTGGCGAATGCAGGTGCATCCAGTGACGAGTCCCAAATAGGACGAAATGCGCGTTGTCCTGGGTTCCACTGCTAGCCACCCTCCAATATATATGTATCGTATAATTGCACAAACATTACACTTGCTCATTTTTCCTACTGAAATTAGGCATAAATGTAGATTTTGTCACGAGCCATCATCAGTTGTAGAAAGTCATTCAGAAACAGTAGGCAATGGAAATCTGAAAGACCTTGGGTTAAATCTCTGATGGGATCATGGGTGTCCACCGCTTGGGGAGCCGCAAACTAGGATAAAATACTTAGTATGTATTCGTGTACGAAAGGTATGATCTGATATGTTCAGTTTGCTCTTGAGATACGGGACAAATCGTATTATTATTTTAAGAAACTGATATTAGTTTTTAATACTTTTACCGTATTGTGTGATAACATGTGAATGAATGCACTCTAATGACTGACTATTTCTCCCTACTTTATTTATCCTAACAGGGTCAATCATTGTAGCGCTCTAGCTAACATTCCCACCTTCTGATAATCTGATTACCTTAGATCTACTTACTAGTTTGACTTATGTGTATTTTGCCTCACAGTCATTGAGTGGTATTCGATAAATTATATTGTTTTTGATTGTTTGGAGGGTATCATCATGAGCCGACATCATTTTGAGAACCATTGGAAAACTTGGAATTAATGGACAACTGTTTCGCCCTAGTTTGGTACTCTTCATCAGTACGCACCCACGGACAGGGTTCGAACTCAGAACCTTCTGGTTACAAGGCGAGCTATCTCGTAGACCCTTAAGCCACTGGAACCCGATCCAATGGCCAGCCCGTGAATTCTAACATCTGCCAATTCATGACATAGTGCGAACACTTCGCAATGTCTTCTTCGACGAGTTGTTGCTTCACCTTCAACCTGCTGTATTGTTTTTCTTAATTGGATCTATGGGGTCGTTAAGCCGGACAAAGTTTATCACAGAGAGAGTTGGTTGATATAAATGCCACCCTATTTCTAGCCTGATTAAGAATCCTACGTAGGATCTCTGATGCTTTTTCATATGGCAATAGAATCGAAACTTTGAATGCCTGATTATTTTCATCACTACTTTTATTTTTCTTCTGGGTCTTCATACATTCTTGAATGAAATCTCATGGGTTGTTATTCACTAATGTTACTTCGTTTATTTGTTTGATTTCATTATTTAAATCTTCTGGTTTACTAGTTAGGCTCTTGACCGGATTTTATAGACATTTAACTAAACCTACATTCACACAGATTATTTGTGGGTTGAACTGAAGTTTAAGTACTTAGTTAGAATTTGTCTGTTTTTTATAGATGCTAGTAATCTAACCCTCGCATACTTGTTTTCGTTTTATTTTACAGTCTAGTATGGTTAACTCATTCTTTGCATACTGTAACTTAAAAGTGAGTTGAATTCCATCTATTGTTGTGTTGATAAATGCGTGGTGAACTTAAAGATCTTTTCAGATTTCAATGTGCCATCCACATATCTCCATCATAAGCTTTGAGAGTAGGAGTAAAATATTCTAGGTGGTTTATGTCGACAACTGTATATAAATATATTTGCTATTACTGGGGATATTGATGATCCCAAAACTCAGGTTAAATATTGTTTTAAAGCTGAAAAATAAAATGTAGGTCTTAAAATAATAATAATGATAATAATCAATTTATATGTATATTTACGTGTGTATGTATTTCAGGTAGTTTTCCTGCCTATTCATCAATACGTTTAGTCGATGGGACAAGTAATGCTGGTCGTGTTGAAGTGAAACATCCAGAAACTAATATATGGGGTACTATATGCGCTGATGGCTTCGATGTTAATGCAGCACGTGCTCTATGCCGAATGTTGTGTACAAGTTCGTAAGTGGACGTAATTACTCTCTCTCTCCCTTTTTAAAACATTACAAATTTGTGAATACTGTTGTAATCGTAGCAGACAATTGGTTTTGGCAAAGGAATGTTTATATTTTTGGAATTTGGCATCTCTATACAGCGAAATGATGTATACCTTATCTGTAGTCCGTCATCTGCACAGATCTTTTGTGTTGTGCTTTATATTGTGTTTTTTGTCTTCTTTTCGTGTCCCTGATGTTTTGCCGCAACGCTGAATCATTTGACCTCTTTGATGTCAAATCAATCTTCCTGCTATTTGATATTTTTATGCCGATGAATGTCTCTTTATATACTACTAATGAACTGACTGCCCGACTGGTTTCAACATAGAAATTGGTGCAGATGTACAGCAGTTCGAGTCGCCACTCTCCATGTAGCACAAAAGGCAAGAGAAGAGAGTAAATAGAAATAATAAACACAAATATGAGTCAAATAATAATACTAATGTGGAAGAACAATAAAGTTTTATTGGGTATGATAAATCACTAAGAGTGAGTGCATCTGCACCATTGAGAATGATTTCGAGCTACGTCACCAATTGTCTCCAGTCTTAATTGGTTTTTATCATCCCGAGAACCCCAAGCACGAAGACTACATCTCCCTAGGTAGCTGGCTCAGACTAGCTGTTGTGGATTTCATTGACTGATACTATGTTTTCGTTTGACCACCAATAGCTTCTTTCCAACCTGATCCTTCCTATGTCAGTCAGCTAACATTCCCTGTCATTGAAGAAAGAGGATGATTAGGTAGGCATGCGTAACACGTACCCTGGCCACCTCAATCGGTGTAACTTCACAAACACCTCGTCGATTGATTTCCCCTCCTTACCTAGCAAAAGACGCCTAACCACAGTATTGTTCATTCTGTTATACCGCATAACACGGGAGATAGAACGCAGACACCTATGATCAAAAACAGTCAGCCAGCCTTTTCGCGTATCTTACACTTTCAATGGGCATGTCATACTGACAGCCATAAAGGAGGACAAAGAGAACCATTGAACAGTACACACACCCTTTGATCGACAGTGGGATATCACGTCTACAAAGTCAAAGATAGCCTTCTGTATCTGTGATGAGATTTCATCAGCGATTAACCCACTGGCGTTGGCTGATCCAACTTGCCGAATAAGTGAAGTGGTCAACATGCTCCACCAAGCACTTCACATCCTATTTTTAAGCTAGGAGTTAGCCGATGTACTCCAGTCCTGTAACATCATCCAACACATGACAGCAGGAGTGAACTGCATGCCAAACATTCGAAGATTGCTGCTCAAAGTGTTCAGAAGACTGCATAAATGCGTAAAGACTACTGATAAGTGTTACCAGTAACACACGCTACGCTATGAGTGATGAAGAGTTTCAAAATCGCGAGGCATAAGTGTCATCAAACTCTTCTTAGTTCATCAATACGTCTTCTTCTGATAACATTATGATACAGGATTATTGAAAAATGGAATGGTATACAAGAAACCGAAAGGATTTTCTTAATCATAGGCGCTTTTCTTTCAGTTGACCTGGTTATTTAGGAACAAATAGGAAAATATGAACAAAAAAAGAGGCATGAATTCATCTGTATGAGTTTGATAGATGGTTTTAATTACTTCTCCATCAAATGTATCGGAAAAGTAAACCCTTTCTCTCTTCAACTGTTTGTGTTATGCCAAGTCACTACTTCGCTAGAGAAGTAACCCTAGATAACGTATAAGGAAAGATTACCTAAAAGGTAAGAGAAGTGTCATATGAAAACATGAAATCATTTAATAAAATCTCTAATTAATTGATGGATAGTGACTATCAGTGGAAGCCAGGAAGCGCATTTCGTCCATTAGGGGACTCGTCATCTGAATTAAAGTATCTAATTACTTATACAGAACAATTTTCTCTAAAGGGTCATAGTGTTATTAGGCGTACTTTATTAAATCCTCATCATTCATCTTCGTGTAGTTATATTTCATATCGGACATTTCCATGTTGAGCAGCAATCACCTTCCTTGACGAGGGCAGTGTCAGCCGAAGTATGGAAGAGTTAGTCATGGTCAAACAAAACCCTGTCACCAGTCCATAAAATGTTTGACAGGTGGTTTGAACCTTGTAGGGGAAGTGAATACTGTCTGGTTGTGGAGTCCTCGAGATGCTTAGAACCAATAGCCTGAAATAGTTGGTGATATGGTTCAAAAATGTTCTCATTGAAGTAGATGTATTCAGTGTCTGTAATCCCCTGTATCCACTAAACCGTTATAATGCTTTCTCACGCACATTTCTGTCTATTATATCATTACTTTTGAATCTTTGTTTTCTGTTTTGTGAGCTACATGGAGTGTGGCAACTTGAAATGCTACACTTCTCTGTAGAGTTCTCAGTTTTTAAGCTCAGTCAGACATTTCCATTTGATATAGACTGTTTCTTTGGATTTCTTTCTCTACTTTTGTGTGTAAACATTTAAAGAAGTCTAACAAGGCTTTTGAGCAGAGCTCTTATATTGAGAATTCAGTCACTTCAATAAGTAAATCGACTGTTGGACTAAATTACAAACGCAGGACTTCTCACATTAAAAGGAAAATCTTTCAAATTGCTGCATATGTTCGACCAACAAAAAGATACTAGAAAATCTAGACTTCACAGATGATTTATGCCTGAACTCACACAAACTGAAAGAATTACAGGTGAAAACCAAGAAGCTGACAAAAATGAATCAGCGAAGACAGGATTTCATCTGAGTATAGGAAATGTAAGGGTGATGAAATTAGCCAACTGACAACTGCTAACACTAATCTCCATCAGCTGGAGAGACCCAAACGAACTCACCTTTTTTCACTTACCTAAGTAGTATCAATTCAACTAAACTCGGACTCCACAGATGAGAATGTCAAAAGCGAGATGGACCTTCACTAATCTGAAACCAGTAAGCAATAAGTCTCGGCGAGGCCTCGAGCTAAGCACTTTTGCGTCAGTGGTATAGCGGTTAGGACGCTCGCCGGGGTTCGATCCCCGGCCGACGCATTCCTTTACCTCGCTAAGCCAGAAATAATGCTGGTAAAGAGGAAAGGTTGGACATCCTGTAGAAAATAAACACTGCTACAGAAACTTCAAGCCACTAGCTTGAAGCCCTATGTTCCACTGGGGAACGTGAAGGAAAAAAAATAAGATCCGGATTATCCACATCAATGTGAAGTCAGTCAGTGTTTGTGTATAGTTTACAGACTTGGTAGGTGTGTCACCAAATGTATTTCCTACAGATGGCTGAAATCTTTCATTTACAACTTTCCTCTTCTATTCATAATGAATATCAGATGGCCACCAGGGAAGAATAGGCAACAAGAACCTCTGCGCTCAATAATGATATAGAAGAAAGTGGAAATGGACTGGACGTACTCTAAGGAGACAGTCGAGTGATGTCATGTGCCAGGCTATCGAGTGATACCTCAGTTGTGAAACAAAAGCATGTGGGGGCGACCACTGAGTCAGCTAAAAAGACAGAGAACAGAAATTAATAATCATAATAGTTTAAGTTGCTACGCTTCCCATGAAAGAAGAACAAATGCAATGAGACTAAACTGGATTCATCCCCCTCACTAACTCTAATTTTTTGTGTGTGGAACGAATGATTATTTCAGCAAATAATAAGTCGTCTAGATAGGCGGTGGTGGCTCAGCCAGCATGCATTAAACGAATCTTTCTAGTCATCTCAATCAACATACACTAATTATATATATATATATATATATATATATATATATATACTATTCCATTGTCCAGATAAAAAAGAAGGCATTTCGCCCTAATTGAAATTATCCGCCTCCTTCTTGCTTATTGTTTATCTTATTCGATTAATGAGTCACAGTTTAATTCAGAGTAATTCAATACACATGTGTGTGTGTGTGTGGATATCAGGTAGGCTGCTCTTCATTTTTGTCTCACTACTCAGGTCTCTTTTCATTTCTATATAATTATTGTACTGTATAGCATAACGTGTATGCATGCATGTATGTTTGTATGGGTGTAACCATTGGTGACTTCTTCGTCTCTCCTCTGATTTCAACAGTATATGCCTTCGTCACGCGCGCGCACACACAAACATTCACCTGTGTAGTAACCACTCTCTGAATTCTGTTTTGTTTATTAATTTTTTCTCTTCTACAGACAACAGTTGATTATAAACAAAATATTTTTCTGTGATATTTTGTTTACTTATATATTTACTATTTATTATTATGATATAATATTGTCGGTATTATTTCCTTGACTTCCGAATAGGGAAAATAAAGCTTCAATATGAGGTGAATGTCCATTTCCGAAGTCGTGTTTATCTGGATCAACGATTGCCTATAAGCTTTAATCTCCTCCTCACACACTATCTTCCCCATGTCATCCTCAGCGGCACGCCTAATTCGTCGTTTTCTTAGGAGGGTTATACTAAAAAACCTGGCGCGCGATGTCCCTAAACGCACTCTCCAGACCATCTCCATTTTCTTCCGTTTATCTGTTGAGAAGTAGGTTCTTCGTTGGTTCACTAACCACCAGAGTTCCCTTACACTTATCCCTTCCAGCCGGTGAAGGAAACGGTTATTGAGATGACAGTCTCCAGGACATTGGAGATGCTTTTTATAATGAAGCACTATCCAAAAATCTTTAAACTATATGGAAGTACTCACTGACTTGACATTAGTGTTTAAGAAGATACGGGAGTGTATGTAGTATATTTCCGCACCGATTTTAAAGTAATCAACACTTGTCTTTCCTGATTCTTGACTACCTTTGAAACTCTTATCTCTGCCGTCCACTTATAGTTTAAACGATGCTAACTAGATTGGTAAAAGCGCTGACTTCCTTCAGATGTCTCTTTATGATGGCCATTCATACTTGTTGTTATTGATAGTCGGGAATCTTCATCACCTCTACCTTCTCTATGTTCACTTGAAGTCCTATCTTCACTTCTTGTTCTGTCAACTTGTTAGTTTCTGCCTATAGATCTTAGAATCCATGTAAAGTGAAAGATTAAGAATAGACAACTGTTACGAGAGTATATCTATTCATGATGCTAATTAGTTGATGTTGAGTAGCATGCTGGAACTCAGGCCTTTTGTTTCGTAGTACTTTGAGACTGGTCTGCTAAATATATCTGCATTCTCAGTGGGTGACTGTGTTCCTTCTGAAACTCGAACACAAAAACCATCTATTGTGCAACAGGTATCAGTTATCATTTGTTCAAGTGTTAATTTGCATTCCTTGTCAATTGATTATGTTGTACTGATATATTTGAAAGTAAAACAAAGAAGCAACAGGACTATAAATATAATAGAAATAATAAAAGTAAAACTTGAAGGTTCGAAGTGAGGACAGGGAGTAAGACAAGGCTGTCTACTATCGCCAATGATCTTCCTGATTGCAGTAGATTGGATAATTCGACAGACAACAAGCAATGAGGAAACAGGCATAAAATGGACTCACATAAAAAACTTGGAGGATCTGGACTTCGCCAATGATATATGTCTGATTTCCCACAAACTGGAAGATATATGCAAGTGAAAAGCAACAAGTTGGCGATAGAAGAAGCATCAAAGATAGGACTTCAAGTGAACATAGATAAACAGACGTAGGTGATGAAGATTCCTGACCAACACCAACAGCAACAACAACAACAGACGACAATCAGCCAGCGTAAATGGGAGGAATCTGAAAGAAACAACCTCCTTTACCTACCCACCTACCTGGGAAGCATCGTTTCAACTACAGGTGGAACTGACGAGGATATCAAAGCAAGAATCGGAAAAGCAAGACAAGCTTTCATTACTCTCAAGTCTGTGTGGAGGTCAACAGCACTCAACATCAAAAATAAGATCCGGATTTTCAACTCCAATGTGAAGTCAGTGCTACTATACGGATCAGAGACTTGGCGCGTCATAAAGAGCATCTCAAACAAACTTCAGACCTTCATTAACAGTTGTCTTCGCTCAATATACAAGATCAGATGGCCGGCCAGAAAAGATCAGCAACAGGGATCTCTGGCAATGAGCAAACCAACCAGGTACCTATTGTGCAACAAATATGCAGGAAGAAATGCAGTTGGTGGATTGGCCATACGCTGAGGAAACCATCAAGTGACATCGCTAGACAAGCCATCGCTGGAGTGGAACCCGAAAGGGAAGTGGCGAGTCAGTTGGTCGTCAGTGCAAGTGTGACTTGGAGGAGGTCATGTGAAGAGGAAATGAAAGCATGTGGGAGACTTGGAGCGGGGTGAAAAAGTTGGCAGGAAACAGAAGGCGATGGAGACGCGCAGCTGAAGCCCTATGTTCCTCTAGGAATTAAAGGACATAATAACAATATAGTAAAACTTGAAGGTATATAAGGATGGATGGAGGAAATTGTTTTTTTGCTAGATGAAAAAAGGTTAGTTAATTCTTGCCTGACACTATCTTCATCACATAAAATACGTGCCAAGTATGGTATCATAGAATTTTTTTATTCTTAGACGTGAGAGCATACAGTTTTCTGAAGTTACTTCTTGTTCTACCTGAGGAGATGCAAGGTGAAAGCTGAAGGTAAAGTGGATGCTCCAAGTCACATAAAATCCATCTGGCAAATGTTTTGCACGAAGTCAAGTGCCTATCGATAACAACACTAACTATGTGGTCCACTGGGGCACCACTCACCCTACTGACCTTCTTTAGCATTCTACGAATTGTGACATAGTCCTTTTTAGGCAAACCAGGATAGAATAAGGGTGAACAATAAAGAAGAATAGGTAGGATGCAAGAGTTTATGAACTGTAAGAGGAGGTGTTCAGTTATACCAGAGTGCCTTAACTTTTTCAATGTAAAATGGCAGGCGGAATATTTTACTGGAGATCTCTAAGACATGGAAAGACCAGGAGAGATCAGAAGAGAGAATAAGTCCAAGATACTTAATTTCTGATTTAATTCCTATATCATTGTCGCCAATGTTACAACTATCATGAGAATCGACAACTTTTAACTGTCTTTTACATCTTAAGCTGAAATTAACAGTTTGACATTTAGAAGGATTCAGTTTAAGACCGTTAGACTCAGACCATTTACTGACTCCCGACAGAAAGCTATTCATTTTGGTACAATCTAGCTAGGAGTTTACAGCCATTGAAACTGTTAAATCATCAGCGTACTTCAAAAAGTTTATTTCATCAGAGTAAGGCAAGTCATGCAAGAAGAAAGAAAAAAGAAAAGGAGAAAGGACAGTGTCTTGAGCGACACCAGCTTCAGCAGGCAATGAAGTAGAAGACTTCCCTTTATACACGGTGTACTGCTTTCTTTCTGAGACATTGGAATGTAACCAGTTAACAGCTCAACATTCTGTTGTAAAGCTGTATCAATCGAAATATTTGTCTCTTTTGTTATGCATATTGAACCACTGATGAATGTATATGATTCTGTGAAGAATAAATACAGTGATTACACAATATACGTGTGACATCAGCTTTGCAGGGGTGCAGTGAAAGGCGTGAGGGTTGGTTTTTGTTCTCCCCAGCCTAGAGTTTGCAGATCGTTCGATTGGTTCATTATTAATCCAAAGGTCATTGTTTTAAATTCAATGTCACTGTTGAGATTTTCAGCTCATAATATTTCTTCATCGAAAATACGCTTGATTATACCAATGCTTTGATGTGTTTTCTATTCAATGTGGATTATTTGAAAACAGTTAGGAATAACATTACACCATATATTGTATGATATTTCTCATGTATCATCATTTTTGTGTAACCAGTAAATACGCTATTAGTATCTACTTTTCTAACACCTTCAAACACTGTTTAAATTTTGGCTTTGCTACCGACATGCTAATATGTTGTTGTCAAAACTGACTGAGATAACTTTAATCTATGTAGAACTTTATTTATTGTTAACGTACTAACTGGATGCAACATTGTTGTAAAAATGCTGAGAATTCCATTCTGTATCACAAGTACTGATTTGGAATAAAGCTATTATCTTATCTTGTTGACCATTGAATCTTATTTGTTTCATTATATGTATATATCTCTTTTTTAAATCATCCAGTGATAATCTTCAGTATGCTTATCCAGTATTATATCAATATGGTAGTGCGCCTGACTCTACGCCAATTCATTTATCACGTCTTCAATGTCCAGCAGATGCACAAAATTTAAATGATTGTAAATTAGGCGGTGGCTGGGGTTATACACCTGGTTGTACACATGGTATGGATATTGGATTACAATGTGGTCCACGAGCGAATGTCGAGTATCAAGGTCAGTGTGTGTGCACGCATCTCTTTGTTTGTTCATTGTTCAATTACACGATTGAACATTGATCAATTTTAAAAGTATGTGTGTATTCATCCAAGAGATTTCGCCTTATGGTTAAAGTGAGTTTGGGTTACGGCTAGTATAGGGTTGGGTTAAAGTTTGTTTAGGGAATTGTTGATTAGGGCTTAGTACTAGACGACTTTTGAAATGAAATATTTAAATACCTAGCACGACTTTCTTTTTATTCATCGAAAGTTTTTTTCGTTTATCAATCAACGCAATCGTTCGAGTCTAGCACCACATATTTTAAAGTTTGTTGGACTTCAAATTCAAGGATAGAAATATAAGTGGTTGAATGTTGAGGCTTCTGTGCATACAACACGTATTTGTAAAGTTGTTGAATCAGCCTGCGATTGACTGATTTCTGACAAATGCTCAACAGGGATAAAAGTATCTCAGTCGGCATTGTTGTAATACCCATCACTAGTGTGATACACATATATTTTGAAATAATAGTAGAGATTTCTTACCCAAATGGATTTTTTCAATGCGGTTGTGTTCCCTGAGCTGGATGGTTTTATTTACGAATTTCTCAATGTCTTTCTAGACAAAATCGTCAGTGCGCTAACCTTAGTGGGAAGTTTGTTTTAGGTATTCTCCACAAGTGACAACATTTTACTTACTGATGACCTTGTCTGTGATTGGTTGTCATTATGGCTTTATTGATTGGTTAATTCGATTCATCTTAACATTTCTGTTGATTGGAGATTAATCTCAGGGTGCGAGGCTTTCAGAAATTCTGTTGTACTATTGGTATTATCTCGGCTTAAGACTATCTGCATGTATTGATGCGGTGGAATACATATAATGTAGATACGCCACACAAAATCGCATAGTTTGTACGAAGGCTGGGATACTACTTGGATTTCGAGACTTAAGGTGCCATCTTCCGAGTCTTCAACTTGAAGTTCCACCCGCAAGGCATTGGAGCAGCATCAAGAGCTACTTGCATATTCACCTTCTGGTCCTTTCAGATTTTGGAGCCTATTTACAGCATAGTTTTGTAATCAGGGTTTTGCAGCTTCTCTAGATAGACCTCTGCACGTTCTCCGCATATCCGGTTATAAGCACAAGACGTTCAGATTCTCTGTTTCACTTTTGTGAAGAACCCGTGGGCCACGTGAAGACAACGAATAGGACTTACACCCGGTAAAGGCTAAAAATTCATGGCCTCGTAAGTGTATTTCGGGAACAAAGTGGAAGTCTACCCACCTTCGGCAGTACCAGGTGTTTTATGGGGATCATATATATGTATATATATTTTCCCTTTGTTTATTCTTTTGTTGAAAATTTTGTTGTTGCTCTTTTTTCTCACAGATATTTATCGTCCACAGTTTACCTGTAATCAGACAACTGCTACAGTTATGTATGACAGAAGTTTAAATCATGATTTAAATTCCAGTATGGTTCTGTTAGATGAGAAACCAGTCCCAGCAGATTGTCAATATCATGTTGAAGAGAATACTACGCATGTGACAGCATTTGTACCACTTGTTGGTTGTGGTGGGAGCATAACTCTGGTTAGTTAGTTTCGTAGTTAAATTATCCTTTTCTCAATAATATTTACTTATATATCTATCAATATAGATAGATGCATGATTGATAATTGTCTCTTCCAATTGGAACACAGGTACATCTCCATGATACACTCGGTTCTCTGGCGCCTTTTTTTTGTTAAGCTGCCTCCACGACTGACTGTATACACGTTCTCATTTTCTTTCCACTTTGTCTTCTTCATATCACCCTTAGACACCCAACCCATTGTTTTTCATTTGAGTTCCACTGATAAGGTCCTAGATGATGTGTGATGTCACTTGAAAATCTCATCAGTATGCATTATGTTCAATCCATCCATCTGTATTTTCTTCTGTATAATATTTAGTTGCTGGTGCTTACTAGGAGCATATTTCTTATGTACATCAGACTACGAGTCACATGTTGTATTCCACAAGAGCTGATGGGCAAAGTTAAACAATAGCGTCCCAAGGGATGCAAGCACACGGGTAACCTTCAGCCGATCAGCCATAAAAATAAGTGACTTTTGCATTGAAAAAAAATGACGTTTATTTACAAGAAAATGCATGAAAACTCATTGAACAGGGGTTATCCTTCTCTGACATGACTTAAAAATACGTCCTAGTTATAATGAGGAGTATCAGTTCCTAAGTTAGACTAGTTTCTCTACATGTATTCACCAAGGTGTGACTGAAGATGAGATGTATTTGTGAATTGTTCATCTATCTCTTATCCTGTTGTGCACTCTTCCCGAAAAGCCCTCGGTTGAATTACTATGGTTTTTCAGTAAGAGGATCGACGACTACTTTCCAGGAGAATGTGGATAATAAAACAAATTAAAATCAATTACATCAACTATAAATCTATCCTTAATCGTAACCCTAACCCTGATCCCAACCCTAACGTGCTATTAGCACATTGCCGAAACAGTACGTAAAAACGTGATCTGGGTGAAATTCGCTGCCTAGTTGGTGAATAGCATTGATATTACAGCTATGACAATGGTCGGTGGTGTTAGCCAACGACTAGCATGCGTTCAAGGTCATTGGGGCGTTCACACCCCTGAGACGCTATTGTTGAACATCGCCAACCGATGATACTACACCCTCACTCAGGCTGAAGTAGACTAGATGAGGTGTGATTTAAATCCGGTTTGGGTACTACGAATGCTTAGTTCAATGAGTCACACCTTCACATTTGTCAAATCAGATGATTTGAACTAATAAGAGATCCACACCAGACTGCCGAAACAGCCCTCCAGTGTTTAGATCACACTTCGATCTGTCTAACAAGCACTACTTGTGTTGATGTCACTGATCTTCAAACCGTTTATATTAGTCTATTGTATTATAAAGTATAACTGTGTTAACATTTGCTTTATAAGTTAAATGTGTGACCAATGAGATAGCATTATTTCAGTCCCATAAATAGAAATATACGCTTTCATGACAGGTGATTGGTTGCTGTAGTGGTTTATTAGAATACACCATCTTAACAAGTGCCAGTGAGAACGAAATGTAAGCCCCCCTTCCTACCGATGGCCCAAAACTATCACCTCTGTTCTTATAATAGACTTTACAATATGAATGTAATCAATACCGTGTGTGTGTGTGTGTGCTGTTAAACGATTTATGCTCGGGAGTAAAAAATCAACCAACCCAATCTAGATTTCCCGGTTTCCCCAAATGGTGGTTCTCAGAGAACTGATTGCTTTGGAGTTTGAACCATTAAAATCTAGTACTGGACAGCCATTTCGTCTTAGTATAAAGCCCCTCAGTAGTAAGCAACCATGACCATAATCCCAGGAATCGAACCCAGGACCTTCAAAACCAGGAATCCAATGTTCCATCGCTTCTATCTTCTACTAATTATCGATATATTAGCTCCACTGCAGGGCAATAATATCAGCAAGTATCTGCCCTAACCAGTCAACTTTGTAGACTCCTCTTTATGATATTAAATGATCAATTGCTGTACCATTAATGAGAGGTGAAAATATTTAACGCACGTAATTTGATGTTCGCTGCCTCATCATCAATACTAATTTCTCTTCTCTACAAAACTCCCCTCATGTTTAGCCTGAAGCTGTTTCATTCCGCTTATGTTGGCAGTGATTTTCACTAGACAGAGTTCTCTTTGAGAAATACACTTTTAATTGAAATCCTGTGTAACACTATGCAAAGTAGTATACAGTTAAAGGAAAGAGAAGACGACAACCCTATGGTGGTGGTATATAGTTCAGTCCGCTCCTGCGTGGGGGTGACTGATCTTATTTTTCAAATTATTCATCAATTCTTAACAAAGTAGACATAATATGCCTTATTTTGTTGTTTATCTATGCTCTTTAACAAGAACCTGTCCTACCTAGATTAGATGATTGTTCTTCAAGTGGACTATGTACTACTACATCATGGTTTTTATAAAATCACACCTTTGATATAAGTCAGTATATATCTCCCTAACATGTTAACCACAATTCTGACTGGGCTCTTTTAAAACCAGTTGATAGATTAGATGAGATTAGACTGAGACGTAAATGTGATTTGGTCAAATCCGTGTTTGGTATTTTAGTTTGCATACCTATAACTCTTAAAGTGCAGTAAGTAGGATACCTACCATTATGTCCGTCTATTGGAAATGAATGAGTCATCAGGCATATAAGGATATAATATTGATGTGTACGAATGTTTTTTCTTGTATAAATGAATCAGTCATATACAAAGAAAGGGTTCATGATCGATTGATAGTGTGTATGCGTGTGTAGATGTGTAAAGCTCATATAATATACCTTGTGTGTTTATGTCAAGTTACTGTCAGCTCAAGATGTGAGAAACACTGCAACACACCATACCCAAACAGACACACAGGAAAGCTTAATATTATGAGTAATCTTGGATAAATGACTGTAACGTGTGTGAGAACGCAGATCAGGATATGAAAAGATTGAGGAAAGAATATTCTTTTCAATAAATGGCCAATTGACTGTGGGGTTGTGTATATAGATTATATATACATTAATTTAAAGCTATAATCACATGTAAATGACTTGGATGGAAGGATAAATTGTCAGATTTTTACAATTAAGTATTGATGACCTAGATAAGTAAAGCGGTTGAACAAATTTCTCTGGAACACACAAGTTAGGCCTCTTCAGCTGCACTCTGAATAGCTTATGTTATTTCCAAAAAAAGAAACAGTTAGGAAAAAATTAAGAATTGTTGAAATACACCAGATAACTTGTAATGCCTTTTCAACATCAATTATGTATTTTCTATCTACGTGGTGAACTGGAACAGAGCAACGAATAAACCTTATTTATTAGATGGTTGGCTGTGAAATTACATCGAATGAGGTGGTTAGGACATGTGTTACGTATGCCTAGTCATCGCCTTCCTCGACTGACGGGCAATGTTACCTGACTTAGGGTCATGCTGGAAAAGAGCTAGCGGCGGTCAAACCAAAGCATGGCTTCACCAGTCAATGAAATGCAAAACAGTTAGTTTAAGCCACGTAGGGAGGAGGTTGGGTTCCTCGGGATGGTAGACACCAATGGTTGGAAACAATTGGTGATATGGCTCAAAGTCGTTCTCAGTGGTGCAGATTCATCCGCTCCTTGTGCCTTATGATTTCCAATGAAACTACGTTGTTCTTCGTTACTTCTATTTCTTTGTCTCACACCTCTGTTTACTGTCTCTATTATGCATTACTTCTACTTACTTCTCTTTCTTTGTGTGCTACATGGAGTGGAGTGTGGCGACTTGAACTGTCGCACATCGGTGCAAAGTTCTATGTCGAAAACAGACAGACAGATGGTTGGATGCAATTGGAAGGAAGCCTTTTACCTAGGTTTCGTGCTAGTTGGCACTCGTCAGCATGGCATGTCTACAACCTTTGCAGGAACTCATATCCCTTCTGAGATTCGAATCCGCATCATCCAGTGCTGCAGTCAGAGACGTTGTCACTAAGCTATTCGGGCTCACGATTGATCTCCTGTAGGACTGTATTGGATACTTCGATTGGACATTAGTTAGTGACTAGTGTAATGTGTCTAGTCCTCTGTTTGTTGCAGACTGAATTCTGTCAGTCAGGTTTGCAATGTTGCCACCATTCTAGGTGGCTCATCATTACGGTGCACATTGATTTGATGATATTAGATGTTTCGAGGCAATCGGCAGGAAGCCTTGTCTGACCTAGATTTCTTGCCAGTTGCCACTCACCAGTCAGCAAGAGGCGTATCTGCAACCTTAAAGGAACCTTATTTATACCTTGTTTAACTACACAAGATGAGGTTCAGAAATCTCATGATGAACATGCTTAATGGTACTCTCAATTTAATTGTCTCTATAGGAGAGCAGTCAAACTGATAGGTAGGTAGGTAGGTAGATAGGTATACATAGAGGAGGTAAAGTTAACCAATTTGTCCTTATTTTCTGAACGTAAAATACTATCCTTCTGCTGCACTGAATCCTCTTTTTACAGCATTCTTTAAGTGTTGTTATGTTATTATTTCACTGATATTATCGTCAAAGGACTGTAGTTTTAGGAACAAAGGCGTCTGTGCGGTGGACATATACCAGTTTGCCCTGGCGTTTGATTCATTTTTTCTATCAGTAACCTTTTCAGGATGATATCCATTTTTGCTGAGTCATTTTCTAAAAATCTGGACTTCTTCAGTAGAGTAGATTACTTTAGCAAGCTTTTTGATCCAAACTTTACGAAATTACCATTCTTTTTTTATACCTATATGGTATGCATTATTTTCCCCATTAATTATTTTCAATTTACTTTGTTATTATTATTATTCGACTATAATACATTCATTTGTCTTCTGCTCATTAATAGAAATGTTTACACACACATGTTGAACATATTGAACAAATAAAATTATCGATGACCTAGATTGTTTAAATCTGTCAGTTAAAAGCAAAAAAGAAAAGAAAATGGCGGGAAAATTATTTATTACTGTCATTATTGTTATGACACTATGTGTTTATTACATGCCGAAAAAGTCCAACAATATGTTAAATCGACTAAAAGGAATCGCTCAAATTAACAAATTGAGTTGAATTGTCGCATAGCGGTGGGAACTTTGATTAGTGTCTCATGGTTTGTCTGTCTGTGTTTTATATTAATAATGAAAGGATTAGTTCTGCTTGCAAAATCAGATGTGGGGTATATGTGTATAATCTTGTGTGATATATATCGAATCAGGAATTCATTAAAAATGAATGATAAAGTAGACAGCGAGATCTGACAGTAGTTCGTTGGATCTCATATAAGACTCTGCAAACTTCATCTTCAGACATCCAAGAGGTGTGGATGTGTCAGTGACCCTAAGAAGACCAATTGGTCCAAAAGACAATTTGGGCTTCTATCTTGAGTCTTTCCCTAATCTATGCATACCCCAACACTAATATCCCGCTAGTTAGTTTGATCTGACTTCATGGATTGATTTTCCCTCCTTAAGCGTAACACTCAATGCCTAACGTAAAATAATACCCCCATCATATTGTTCCCTTAAACATGGGAGATAGAATGGAAACACCTGTAGTCAAAGACAGTGAGTCTTCCCATGTCTCCCACTTTTAATGATCGACAATGTTGTAACAGCAGAAGGCAAGACACGGCAGCCATGGCAGGTGGTCAAACCTCTACTTATATCCATAAAGTTTATATTCTTTAACCAATAACTGAGTATGTGATTTGGTTTCACATTAAGCGAAATGAAATAAAATGCTCAAATACATATATAGAGTATTCTGTTGCTAATGCATTATTGAACTGTGGGAATATGTGAGAATAATATTCTGTTAGAACACATTGTCTGTATCACACCACCACAATTGTCATAGCTATAAACAAAGAAAAAACCGACTGCTTCGCCGTACACATGTATTTTAATGAACAGCGGACTATCACATCAATGCTAGAGATAACGTAAGTTGGGAAACGCCACACAAATTTGTTGTATCCGTGCTATGAAAAAACAATTCACACTTGACCTGTCACATATAGGCCATAGTCTTAGTCATCTATAGAACTGTTGAGGTTGTAATTGTGAATGTAAAGGAAATAAGTGTTGAGTTTATTATTCGTCAGTCTAACCAAGAAAATCAAAACGTTGTTATCTACTTACTTTCCTTCTTCAGTAGTATACATTTTACATAAAAAATTCTTGATGGTTTAGTAGATTTTGATTCAAAAATTATATCCTCGTCTTCATAATCCTTTAGCCATCAATACTTTTCACGAAGTACCTTTTTTGTTGATATCCGATTTTGAAAACCGAAACTGACACTCGTTAGCATCGAAAGAATGTAGATGTCGCTAAATGTTATTATTCTCTCGGGTTCCAGGGGGAATATAAGTCTTCAGAAGTTCATCTCCATTTCTTTCTGTCTTCTGTAGTCTCTTTACAGCTGGTTCCATGACCACTCATAAGCTTTCGTTTCCTTCTACATGTCACCTTCGAACCCACCAATTCGTCTTTCTCCATTTAAGTAAGTTCAACTCGAGAGTGTGTCTAGCATGTGGTAACACTCAGCAGTATCCTCAGAGTATATCCAATCCATACCGCTCAATTTCTTTCTGCATGTTTGTCTAGCAAAAGGTTCTTGGTCGATCTTATCCTTTCTGTTCGTTGGCAAGAGTCTAACTTGAAACAATAATAATGTTATCAAACGTTTATATGAGTGTCATTGTGCCGTAGAGTACTGTATATGGTATTCTGATATCTGATTCAAACCTGTGACCCGGGAATTTTACGATTTGAAGTGTGGCTATATTATGTTGCAATGTTTTCTCTGAATAAAATTTTGGCCTAATAATTGCCTGAATAGGTAGGTATTGAGTTATTTCATAAAAGTTCAGTAGTACAATGCTCCCCCCCCCGCCAAACACTCAAGAGATCTGAATTTGATTCTTGGCCGACGCACTCTCAAACCTCACTTCTCCCCGGTAGTCATCGTGGAAGAGATAGGAGGAGGTTGAGTGTGGGGTTTGCAACTCCTTCCCACCTACTGAAACCCAAAAGTCTTAAGCTTGATACCCCAAGTCCCGCTCAGAACGCTAGATAATCATAGTGTTGACCGAGTAGTTAGTTAACATAGAGCTCTCCTCATGCCTTCTTTCTATTAAGTCATCACATACACAAACAAGGTGGGAAATACATTCAACGAAAAGTGGTGTTCTCATTAAGAGATATCCCAAATGTTGCAGTTTCTTTCCTTCTATTTTTCAGATTACGTTAAAAGCTACAACTGTAATCATATATGCTGTAGAACAGGTGGTGAAATGAATAAAAGAATACTTATGAGGCAAATGACATGAATATTATTATTGTTGTCGGTGTTATTATGACTATCGAATTTCAAGCATAGATTATTTGAACTAAACTAAACGTTTGGTTTGCTTTTTGATCAACAAATTGAATTCTGACACAAATAGTATTTAAATTTACCGCCATTTTTATTTACTTGTTTACTTAAACAAAATGTCAAATTTGTTATTTTTTTGATTGATTTATCAAAACAAATATCGTCTTTTTGTATATACATTAAACTTCTCAATAATTAATGCCTTGTTCGATTAGATGACATTAAAATTATTTGTTATGGGTTACCGCTATTGTTATTATTATAACCCCTGTGATCAGTCAGTAACAAAAACAAATAGTTTAAGGCAGAACAAGTGAGTGTATTTCATTTGTTCTCATTGTAACATTCTTATTCGTTTCTTGAGTTTTGAGTGGAATGTAAGTCCTCAGCTGCATATTTTCCTTAGCCTTGATTCCCCTCACTGGTCGCTCATTTTCTCGCCTCCCAGTCGGGTTCCATACTAGGAGCTCTATGAGTTTCTTTCAAAGTCTCCTGAGCTTCGATGAACAAATGTTTTTGAGTTTTAGTAATGTTTGCTTTTCTAAAGCCTCCATCTATCATTTTCAATCATAACTTATTATTATCAATATCTTTTTTCGATTGACACCTTTTCCTGGATGCTTTTCTTGTCGTTGACTGCTTACTTTTATTTTGTTTTAATTTTTCCTTAACCTGCTGTCCTGTAATCTTGGACATTGAACAGAGTAATAGAACATCGCTTGCAATTAAATTGAATTTGATTCGTATATATTTAACACCAGATAATGGTATTATATCAAATTTACCAGTGAAATTCACCGTGACCTGTTTAATACCAAGATCGAATCAAATTCATTCAGAGGCATTTGCTTCACCAAATATTACCTCAAGTTTGTTGAGTCGCAGTGAGGGAATTTCTTCATTATTGAAATTATATCGGGATCAACTGTAAGTGTGATTAACACGGTTTTTGTTTTTTATTTTTTCTCTTAAAAATGTGAAATTATTCTCTAAATGATTTAGTCGTCTTATTTTGACTATGATGTAGTATTTAAACCACAAGGCTTTGGTTATTATTTTCATGTAAATTAGCGGAAGTTTCACTATCATCCTGAACAACATAGTCAGCATTAATCTTATAACAGAGTAGTCTTACAAACTGTATTCATAAATGTCTGGTTGGTGTCTTTCCTCTTAGAGACTTTACCAACTGTGAGATATACTAGACGAGACTAACTCACCCAACGATCCTTTAAGAGCCTGAAAAGCAAATTTTAATGGGGAGTAAAACACCGAGTTAAGTGTTAATTAAACTCGAAGCAGCTATTCCCCTAATATTAATCCAGTCTAACGTTGGATATATTACTAATTTCATCCTAAGCTATGTCACCTAACTCTGGTTATTGGTTCTGACTGAGGAATACCAGTGTTTCTATAAGAAACGTGAACGTTATTGTGCCAATATTTTACAATATGGCAATCTGTTTAATACTCTTACAATCCATTTGAATACTTTTTTATGAATTAAGATTATGGAATTTTTGAGAATGGATGTTCTGATGGTGTTGTGAGAAGTCGAGACTAGTTGAGTTCACTGTGTTAAGATGTATTGGTTGGTTATCGAAGACATAGGCTTGAAGGCAGCGATATATCACTCGAACTGACGAAAATTAGGATTTGTGGGTCACACTGAACTCCGGCCCATGTGAATGGTCAACCAGTTTGATCTTGTAACCTTGAAGTTCCCAGGTTCGATCCGTGGTGGGGTTCACACTTATGAGGAGTTACGAACCATGAAGAGATGTCTGTCAGATCCTCCCTGACTGTGTAGAGTCTTTTGGGATTATGTGGTTTTTTGTTAATTAACTGTGACCAATAGGATTGATGTCAATCTGCCTATTGACCTTAAGTTAACCACAACACTGGCCTTCTAGAATTTCGTTTTGAGTTTTGAAAATTGTATAATTCTGTTAAAGCTTCCATAGCTTTTGTTATAATCTACATACTCATAGGTCTGTGTTGGTGTCGTTAAACTGCTTTTCCTATACAACAATATTATAATATTATCGTAGCACTGGTATGGTAGTTGGGTTCCCCGCGTCATGGTGAAGGCAGGATGTACTCATCAATGATATCAGCAGCCATTGCTAAAGAATTGAAAGAAGTTAGAATCCACAGGTCATGGAATTCCAATTAGTCTATTGTCGGAATTGTTAACAAGTGCTGCTCGCTACAACACTACACCACTGGGATTCTCATTGTTTGATCCCTAGTGTGTCGGTTGTGTATTCACATTGCTGAAGAGTCTTGAACTAAGATGAAATAGCTGTGAAGTTCTCCTTAATCTTCTGTAATGTTACTCTAACTAATATCGATTGGTGATGAAATCTACAAAAGAAACAAATACAGTGTAAAGTCTAGTCGATACTCGAACATAAAAATCTTCTTCCTAACTAAACTACTTATACATTGAAGTTAGTAGTATGTTTCATCTCACGGTTAATTTACTGTACACTGTATTCACTATCCGTTACCTGGACCAAACCCCACCGTTCATCGTTTCAAAAGCCAAAGCGTTATGTACTATTTTAGTGGGACGGAAGGTATACTAGCGAACTTGTCCCCCGTCGGTATTCATTTGTATATTAGCTGTTCCGCCGAAGGACACTGTTAGAACTAAGAAGAATCGTGGTATATGGATACACATTCGTAAAAACTTTAGGGACATGTTATATATATATATATATATATATATAACATGTATGCACATGGTCCGAGGTTCGAGCCCTCGCCGACGCACACCTGATATCTATGGTCGGCCTGCAAAATTTGGGCTACCGATATCCACGCTGAAAATTCCATACTTGTACCAAAAATACGGTGTGGAATCAAGCTGTAATCAAAAATAAAAAATAAAATAAAAATATTGGAAGCTCTATCCTGTGAAGAAACTAAAACAAAAGTGTGAATACTTAGGATAATAATAGTAGCATGAAATGTAGTTAAAATGTTTCTGATCACAATCATAGTTAAATATCAAGTGGCAAAAGAAATAATTTCATAAATTGTATAGATTTGAGGAAAATGGGTGATGTAAAATTAATAGGATTAGTAGACAACTGAAGCACTATGCAGTACCGTGAGTGGTTTGATAAGATAGAACTTAACTTGCGTCGATTAAAAGTAATTAATGTGACACTATTGGAGGCGTGAGTGATAATAATAATAATCGTAGTAATAAGAGAGAAGGCACATGGACTAAATAAATAAATGTTTATCCTTCGACAGCTATAATAGAAATAGAGACTGTGCATAATTCTTTTGTACACAAAGGTCAAAGCCTCCGCTGTCATTAAAAGTTTAGAAGGAAGAAAACGCGAGAAGTTAGCACGAATTCCGTAAGTGATCTTAGAAATATGGAGGGGGGGTTGGTAGTGTCACCAAAGTTCTGTTATCTGCAGTTGGCTCTACGATCGCCTATAAAAGCTCTCATCTGCTCTATATCACCCTCAGCCTAACTGTTTCCTGTCAGGATTCCACTCGAGGCCCTGTTACACGGTGTCACTCAGCGGTCTTCATATTGTGTGTCCGATCCATTTCCATTTCCACTGGTCAGTTCGTTCTTAAATTTGCCTACTGTGAAGCCTTACTAGCTAGCGATCTTATCTTCAGCATAGAAGCGTAGCAAAGGCAGCTCTTGATGAAAGTTTGCAGTAGCATTTTCTTGGCGCGCCAAGTCTCCGACCCACATAAAAAAAAACTGACTGATGCGACATGGGTGTTAAAGATCCAGATCTTGTTTTCACAGTGATTTCAGAGTGATGACTTTCTGTCTTCTGATCCTGACTAGCTACTTAGGTAAGTGGACAGGATCTCTTTCAAATTTTTTCTATTGACAGTGATTCGTTATCTTCACCACGTTTGTCCTCTCTATATTCATTTGAAGTACTGTCGTTGTTGCTTATTCTACCAACTGTTTGGTTTCCGACCGAGAGTCTTCAGGTTATCTGTGACATCTATGCCTTTCAGCGTCTCGTCGTTCGTCAAAAATATGCCCGTCTCACTCCCTGCGGTCTGCTGTGTGTATGATCCAGTCCACCACAATTACGAATATCATCGGTGTTAGTAATAGGGAGCCTTGTCTTATTCTCGTCTTTACTTCAAAGGCTTCACTTCGCATGTGGCATTATCACATACAGCTGTTTACTGACGTTGGCAAAAGTTTTGAGGCATTCCGTAGTGTTGAAACAGTTTCCGAATTACTTCATGCTTAACGCTTTTAAAGTCTTTTTCAAAGTCTTAATGAAGTTGAGATAAAGGCTGAACTGTGTTGGCACTAACTACTTGTTTGTGTCAACAAAAATGTTACTAGTAATCATTATTTTTATCTTAATGTTGGAAATATGATTTGTGTCGTTAGTCTTATATATTTACTTAACTTATCCTTTCTTACTTTAGTATCTTATTTTGCCTGCCTACACTTAACTAGATATACTTCGTTACGCATGAATTGTTCTCCTTATTAAATTATTAATTAGCTGTTTGTATTTTTTCCCAAGAATATGTTGATAATTTCCCACAGATTAAATTTTTTTCTTATTGTATCTAAACGTTTCGTTTATCTCTTATAGACTATTTATAAGTAGGCATATTCTGAAATATTTAATTTAATTGATGTCCTTCCTTAATGTTGAGTGCTGTGACGTAGTATCTCTCTGTACTTTGACGATATCTGTTATTTGGTCGATTTTGGCTAGTAGAAGAATCCAAGATGAACATCTTGCTTTATTTTCTATTAACATGTTACTAGTGGATAATCTCGTTGACTTAAAATGTGCAGATGATATATTTCTCCCTCCTAGATGAGGAAGACTTTGGCAAAATACAGCAGAGTCTTATGAACACCTTGAGCAGCAATTTTCGAATGCTTTGCATTAGATTTCCTCCTGTCAAATGCAAGATGATGGGTGCTACATGATCGGAGTACATCGACTTCTAGGTTAAAGATAGGGAGGGAATGAAGTGGTTGGTGGAGCGTGTTAGGAAGTTGCATCAGCCAACACTAGCAGGTCGATTGCTGATGTAATCTCATCACAGATACAGAAGGCTCGTTTTGCATTTGCCAACTTACGCCACCTTTGGCTTTAGTAGACGTGATATCCTACTGTTAGCCAAAGGGCGTGTGTATTCCTCCGCATCAGTTCCCTATGTCCTCCTTTATGACTGTGGGGGAGATATGGCTCCCATTGAAAGTGGAAGATGAAATAGGCTAGCTGTCTGTCTTTGATCATAGGTGCCTGTGTTCTACCTCCTGTATTAAGTGGCATACTAGGGTAATATTGTGGTGGTTATGTTTCCGTCGGGCGCTAGGTTAGGAAAGGAAATCAATTGGCGAGGTATTGAAATTACATCGATTGAATTGGCTTAAAACATGAGCTACGCATACCTGGTCATCGCCCAATCACACCCAATAAAACTCTAATGTTCTTCTACATTATTATTCTTTTTTGCGTCATATTTCTGTTTATTATCTATCTTTTGAAACTCTATTTCTTTGTGTGCTACATGGAGTGTGGCAAGTGGGACTGTTGTACATCTGTGCAAAGTTTTACGTTGAAACTAGTCATTCAGTGAACATAAAACTTCAAGCTTTTACCCTTCATTTTTCATTAGCGTCTTAATTGTTACTTACAGGGTGGGTTCGCTGGCTTAATGCCCATCTTCCCTTTTTTCTATGGGCTGACTGATGGCCAATTGAGGTTTAGGAGTGCTTCTACTAGGATTCGAACCTCAAATCACGTGCGTGGTGAGACCCTTCACCCACTGGCTCACAACCCATAACAAAATTATCACGTATTATTTTCTTAGTTAAAAGTAGTGAGTCGGGGATTTGTTTCGATTGCATTTGTTGGTGTGTGGGTCTAGGGATTAAGATAACTTTATTTGGTGGACAAGGACTGGAATCCAGGAGGCTCATGTTTTCTTAACCAGGATTCGTCTTCCGGATTATGTTTTACTCGTTCGAGACTTGTTTTGAACGTCGAAGTGTATTCCACTTAGCAACGGCGGGGGGTTCACAAGGTTATCGATCGTATATACCTGCGAGCCTTCCAAATCTCAGCGAAAAGATCAGTTCCTTCAACGTTGACAAATTCACCGTGCTAATGGTGTCTCCCAAGAAGCCCAAATACCACACTACCTTACTAATCTCTAACTTCAGAAGTAATGTGGCGGATGCATGATCTCATGATCGAATCACGGACACATCTTGCTGTCTAAAACCGCCAACAGGTACAACATTGACTCAGTCATTTAAAGAACACTAACTAACTGAGTAACTACAGTCGTCAACTGCACTACTATAAAACGTAACTAGCGTATATTTGAAGTGTGTATCTCTCTGTCTCTCTCTCTGAACACAACTAAACTGCTGTTCAAAGGTCACATTTGGTGTTATTAACGTGATATTTTCGTTTTTTCAAAAAAAATATATCGATTAAGCAAATTATGAGGTGTATAACGTGTTCTAAAGTCTTCTTCTTTATCATACATACATTCGTGATTTCTGTGATTTTAAAAGTAAATAATAACAGTAATAATAGTAGTAAAGCTTTATACCAAACAATATGTGAACACAATATCACAGAAATTTTCACTCTATTTAGTTTCAAAAGGTTTCCTCTTCATAGACATGACTTACATGTAAAATAATATTCTGAAATACATCTCATATGACGTAGCGGTGTTGTTACATATGACGAGAGAATCATTTCTATACATTTCTCCTTCAATCCTTCCCTCCCCACAAGAATTGCACGGCGTTTAGCGGAAAGCTAATTTAAAAAGCCCGCGTGTTCATTTAGTGGTCGCCTAATATAAATTGAATGATTAAAACAACATGATGAAATACAGAAGAGTTTAAGCATTTTGATAGATAAAAATTGTGATAACCCAATGATTTAAATGAGCCTCTGTAGGTTGACATTGTTGTCAAGGTAATCACGGAACTCTAATGTCGGGTGTATGGAATAATTGAGAAATGAACAGGTTTTGTGTTGTAGGCATTCGTCCTACTACTGCCTGCTTACTTTGTGTAGAACGATTGAAGTGTTGACAAGGAAAGAAAATTTTACAATTTATTAGACCAAGTTGGTAATTTGAAATAATTTCGGGTATTATGTTTTGAACTTATCTATTGATGAAATCATTTTCTTTGACACTGAGTTGAAGTTTGAATGGAGTAGTGGAGATAGTATCTCTGGTGTTTGAAACAGCGGATGTATGGATCGAGCCCCATCGTGAATACAACTATTTGACGAGTCCCAGATAGGATGAAATGAGCATCATAGATTCCACTGATAGTAACTACCAATCAAAATAATCTGATACCTTTTTAACTGTTACCGCAGAACGTCTAATCTAACTGATTAAGTTCTTCAAGTTACTAATTTCGGTCATAAGGGGTCGTTTATCATATTTCAACTGGGATACTTCTACTTCTTACTGAGTCATAATGAGAATAGTCCCCGGCTCACCTTGTAACTCCGGAAGTCTTTTTCTCCATCCCACTTGATAATAGCTGTTGTGTAGTAATGAAGAGTCTCATCCTTGTGCGAATTAGCAGTCTCCAGTGCTCAATGATCTTCCAACTGATATCGATTCTCGATGACATCTATTTAGAATTCTTTATTCAACTTGAATATAATTACTGACCGATTTCATATATCTGCTTCTTTTCAAATTCAACGAATATTGAACTTTGATGATGCAAATAAACAAATTTAAATAAAGACTTTCCAGCTGAACTATTTATTTGAATGAATTTATAGACCGTCTGATTGAGCAATCAATGTATTATTAACAATTCAGAGGCAGCTGGTATAAATTCTGCCGTGATTCTGTTTCGAGTGAGGATAAAGGTAATCACGAGGTGTTTTCGCGCACAGTATGACAGACACCACACTAGATATTCAAGTTGTGTAAAATAGAAGTCGAAGAAAAGCACTTTCAAAACGATCAAACTTAATATCTAATTCCTCTAAAAAACTTACTTAATAGGAAGTTGCGTAACACCAACTATCTGTGATGATCTCAAATCGTAATTGACCGCCTTTATTCTATCATATTGTAACAACAGAAGACAAGGGCTGGCAACAGATCGTTTTATTATGAAAATCGACACGTATTTATACATCTTTCAACTACATTATTATAGACAAGCGCAGTCATCTGATTGGTTGTTTCGGGATTCCTTGACAAATCGAGTTCTCTATCTGCGAATCACATTTTGCCACGTTAACTTTGCTGTGATTGGTTGTTGACTCAGTCTTGTTCATATTTTCTCACGGCCCATATTAGTGACCTAGACCTTAACGTAGATTAGTGCCAACCAATCGGCTAGCAGCCTGCTCTCACCACACTCGTCCCCCCGTCAAATACGTGCGACTGAAGTCGGCTTGATCTACTTGGTGCAGGCGTCATCGTTGGCTTGTCTCGCTGTATCCATTTCTGGAGCTCGCTGACGTTCACGCGCCTCTCATTGTTCGCCATTGCGACTGTGTCTGCGTAACCCCATCTCGAAGTGACCATATATGGTCCTTCCCACTTTGGAAACTGTTTGCCTGACCCTGTCGAACATTCGTCCATACTTCGGCCCACACCTTCATATGCTGCTTTCGCCCGACCTCCCAGCAGCGTCTCAAGTAGCAGCTCCATCGCTGACAGATCTTGAACGCCACTCAACTGCGCAGAAGCCTTGAAGTCCTGCCCGAAGATCCATATGTCTCCATCAAAAACTGCAGGGTATAGGCTTTTCATTTGTCGGTAGGCAGCGACACCAAATGTAACAACAGAAGACAAGGGCTGGCAACAGATCGTTTTATTATGAAAATCGACACGTATTTATACATCTTTCAACTACATTATTATAGACAAGCGCAGTCATCTGATTGGTTGTTTCGGGATTCCTTGACAAATCGAGTTCTCTATCTGCGAATCACATTTTGCCACGTTAACTTTGCTGTGATTGGTTGTTGACTCAGTCTTGTTCATATTTTCTCACGGCCCATATTAGTGACCTAGACCTTAACGTAGATTAGTGCCAACCAATCGGCTAGCAGCCTGCTCTCACCACAATATCATGAAGACGAAAACAAAACGGAGGTAAATTTGTTTGGCAATTCGAGAAATATCTAGATTGGCTGAAGAATTTCTTCATGAGCTTGACATCAATCAACCATCGGAAAACCTGGGAGTACTGGGCAGCCGTTTCGTACTAGTTCTGGACTCTTCATCGGTACTCACTCAGTATAATTATAAAAATATTTTAGCTTCACCAACTTGATTTTGATATATTTTAATATTTTTATTTTTCATTATAGATTTACAGTTCAACTGAATCAACCAATCACTATTCCACCAGGTGAAAGAGTTCATGCCCTCGTGTCATTGGTCAATCCTCAAAAGACAAGTAAATTAATATTAGAAGATTGTTGGGCAACTGCAACACCAAATCGTAATTCAACACCAAGACAAGATTTAATTGTTAATAAGTACGTTTCATTCTTTTTTCTCTTTTCTTTCAAATATTTTTCTTGCTCTCATTGCTTTTCATTTTTTATATTTTTTTGAAATTCATTCTTTTAATTTGTATACAATTGGTGGATGGTGGCTAGCAGTGGAATCCAGGATGCGCATTTCGTCCTATTTGGGACTCGTCGGCTGGATGTACCTGCATTTCTCAGTGAGTGGCGAGCACTTCGGTCCAATCAATTGACGGGAAAATCAAAAATTCAATTGAATAATTCACTCTTTTAATCTCATCTCATTTTTCGATTTGTTACCAGGGGACAGTCTAGACGACAAAATGTGGAGTCTTCTGAACAACTTTATCGTGAATCTTCGAACGTTTAGCATCTAATTAACTCATATCTCACATTTTGGATGATGCTACAGAACTGGTCTGCATTGACGCCTTAGTTTAAAGATACTGAGTGACTTGGTTTGAGCATGTTGACTACCTCACCCTAATGGACTAATGTGATTAAGATTAGGAATTGAGTGATAGGTAAGGATGGCGAGTCAGTCGATTAGTTTGTAAAGCTGTAACAACTGATATGACTAAGGAAATGTGTAACTCATTCTGAGGAACCGCCTTCCTCGACGAGCATTGTTAGCTGACAAGGGATTAGGTGTATAAAAGAGTTACAGATGGTCAAACCAAAACACAGAATCAACTCATGAAGCTTATGACTATTGGTTTGAACCACCGATGACATCGGCTTGATGTATAGCGAATTTTTAGAAGTTAGAATTCATGAGCCAAACCAACTGGCTGAATGGTCAAGGCATTGGCCTTGCAACCTATAGGTCCCACTTTCCATCTCTGCTGGTGGGTTCCTGAATACATCTGATCATCAAAGTTTAGCGATAAAATCGATGACGCGGGTTCGAACCTCAGAAGGGACATGAGCTCCTTCAGGGTTGCAGATACGCCTTGCTGATGAATGCCAACTAGCACGAAACCTAGGTTCAAGGCTTCCTGCCGATTGCCTCCAACTATCTAATATCGATTATCTCTTTTTATCACTTATAGAACAAATAGATCTCGTCTTTCCAACTCACATCATTTACAGGTACAACGTTTTCTCTCTACCTTTTTTTTCTCTTTCTGTATTTATTTTTGTTATGTGCCGTTTTGTTTCTCTCTTCCTTACAAACTCTACTTAAAACATTCTTGTTCGTTCTTTCACACTCTGTATATCTCGACCATTTTGCTATCGCTTACGCCAGTAAATATGCTAGTAGTATCTACTTTTCTAACACCTTCAAACACTGTTTAATTTTGGCTTTGCTACCGACATGCTAATATGTTGTTGTCAAAACTGACTGAGATAACTTTAATCTATGTAGAACTTTATTTATTGTTAACGTACTAACTGGATGCAATATTGTAGTAAAAATGCTGAGAATTCCATTCTGTATCACAAGTACTGATTTGAAATAAAGCTATTATCTTATCTTAGCTCTAACTACTTCGCTAATGGTTCCGGGCTCAAATCCTGCTCCATCTATCTTTTTTTCATCCCTTTGCGTTCCGAGTGTAACATAGAGTTTTAAGCTTCAGCTCTGAGTTTCTTGTGGTAGTGTTGGAGATTCCAGAGCAATTCACTCCCAGCTTTCCCTCTTCCCCAGGTTTACTGGCAACTGGCTAGGCAGACGTTAGGAGAGTGTTTATTGGCTGAGGATCGAACTCTGACCATGCCGGCGCATGTCGTTGACGAGTAGTCTACCGGTGAACCATCGACACTACCTGTCAGAATAATTATATTTGATATTCAAGTGTTGGTATATTGATATATATATTTGATAAGAGCACACAGTGATACACAATTTGTGATGTTTTGAGCACAATTTACCGCTCATATTCAGATAAAGGCACTTACACAAGTTTTTTCAGACTTCGTATAAATAGTTTTTTCTTAAGTTTTTTATTCCTGTACATTCCCAGTGGAACATAGGGCTCTAAGCTAGAATCTCGAAGTTTCTGTAGCAATGGTGTTTATTTTTAAGGGATGGGGTTGCTAGCTCCATGCCCAATTTTCCCCCCTTTACCAGTCTTATTACTGGCGTAGCGAGGTAAACGGATGGGTGGGTCAGGGATCGAACTCTGAACCGTATGCGTGGTTGGCGAACATTCTACCATTGTGCGTGCAACCGACGGCGTATACCTAAGAGTTCCATTATTTCGCATGCTCTGATGGAATTTATGGTGATATTTCCCCTAAGTGTGATATCACTGTTGCTTCCTTTATATTGTGCACTTGTTAGGTATAGATTCTATGATTAACCTCTCCTTCTCCACCCGCCTATATTAATTTTTACAACTTCAGCTCTATCCCACTACCCCCTATTGTCTGTGTATGTTAGTGTCTGACATGTGATTGCTGAGTTTTTTCTCTAAGCGCTCCATGTTCTTTGGGTCAATCATTCTACTTCCAATCTGTTGGTGTGATAATTTCTAGTCTGGGCAACTGATATTATTATTATTTCCTTTAATTCCTAGAGGAACATAGGGCTTCAGCCGAGCGTCTCCAGTGCGTTCGGTTCTCTGCTAGAGTTTTCACCTGGCTCCAAGTCTGCCCACATGCTCTCATCTCCTCTTCACATGACCTCCTCCAAGTCACCCTTGGACTCACCGCTTCACTTGTGGTTTCCACTAGAGCGATGGCCTGTCTTGTGATGTCACTTGATAGTTTCTTCAGAGTATGGCCGATCCATTTCCGTTTCTTTCTGCTTACTTGTTTCACAATCGGTTCCTGGTTGGTTCTCTCATTGCCAGAGATCCCTGTTGCTGATCTTTTCTGGCCGGCCATCTGATCTTGTGTATTGAGCGAAGACAACTCTTAATGAAGGTCTGAAGTTTGAGATGCTCTTCATGACGCGCCAAGTCTCTTATCCGTATAGTAGCATTGACTTCACATGGAAATTGAAAATCTGGATCTTATTTTTGATGTTTTAGTGCTGTTGACCTCCACACAGACTTGAGAGTAATGAAAGCTTGTCTTGCTTTTCCGATTCTTGCTTTGATATCTTCGTCAGTTCCACCTGTAGTTGAAACGATGCTTCCCAGGAAGTTAAAAAAGGTTGTTTCTTTAAGGTTCCTTCCATTTATGCTGATTTTTGTCTCTTGTTGTTGTCGCTTCATAATACTTCATGCATACACTTTTGCATGACATTTATGCTTCAAGTAGGTGACTCTGAACATCATATGCGCATATATACATGTGCTGTTGTGCATTTACGAATTTCTAATTTCATGAATATACATCCGGGGTTGGAACCCCTTGTGGGTGGCGGTGCGTACTGCTGATGATTCCCAAATTAGGCTGATGGAACAGCTGTCTGGCAGTACTCCCAGCTGGTTTTCAATGGTTCTCCAACTGATATCAATCCGTAATCAACTCGCGAAAAAAACAAAACTCTAGTCCTTACAAACCAACTATATAGAGAATATACATTCATTTTGTTTTAATAAATATGTTAATGAGTTAGCTCTGAATTTGAATTCAATGTGTATGTGTGTGTGATGATCAATATTGAAAAGTGATAAGAAAAAAGATGAACTTTTTGTTCTTCAGTTTTATAATTGTGATTAGATAAGTAAATAAATGAATTTCCAAAGAAGACAAAAAGAAGTGTTGTGTAATCATTGTAAATCAACTTTAAATGATGTGTAATCAAGATGTGAAAAGAGTGAAAAATCGATAATTGTAAATTAAGCGAATGAATTTCTAATAAAGATTTAGCATGCATCACTCACCACCGTGGCTATAAGGTAGAGAGTATGATGAACTGGATTGATTTTCATTATAGGGGGGAGTCGATAGTATAATTTTTCAAGCCAGCAATATCAGTAACACTGTGTTCTGTTCCAATTTGTGAAATTACTTAAAACAGCACTCTGACACATGGCCGATCGCTATTCCTATGGAAGTTCACTCCTCTCCTACTTAAAGTTTGGTTTGATTATGATAAAACTTGTATAAATTAGAGTGAATGATATTTCTTCATTTCCTGTATAAGAATATATATATACACATGATTCCTTTGGGTTCCCAGCGACGCATCGTCATTTCATTACTATTATCAGCAGTCTTTTTCAGCTGGCTCCACGACTACCCATGAGGTTTCATGTCCTCCGTGTCACCCTCGGACACCCGACTCGTCTTTTCTCATTCAGGTTCTATTTAAAGGTTTGTTTGGTGCATGTTTTCACTCAATGGGCTTCTCAGCGTATATCCCATACGTCTCCACTTACTTCTGAATACTTCATATGCAATAGATACTTGGTTGGCTCGTTGACTACCAAAGTTTCTTGGGACTTATTCTTTCCAACCCTATAGAGGGAGGGTTGTCAGCTATGGATGGAAGTCTACAATAGCCTGTTAAAAATACGTTTTCCTGACGCACTCACCAACTCTTTGTGAGCCATATAGAAGAACTGACTGACTTGACATATATATGTATTGAAAACCCGAATCATGTTCTTTATCTGTTGAATCCAGTAGTTTCATAGACTGATTTCAGATGAATGATGGTCTGTCTTGCCTTTTCGATCCTGTCTGGATTTGAGATTCTCATCTGTACCGTCTGTAGTTAGGACGATACTGTTCAAGTAAATTAAAGAAATGACTTCCTCCAAATTCCTCGTGTTAGTGGTGATTGATGCTTGTTCCATTATGCATAAAATTTTTAATTTGATAAAGTCAAAAAGACTAACAAAACTCGTCTTATTTCCCATCCTAGGTTTATGAATAGCTATAGCCTCAGCGTATTTCAGTAAGCGCCCATGACCATTTTTATAGATGACCTTAAAGGCTGAGTTAACATCAATCTTATGGTTCATCTCGATTAGATGTTTAGCTATAGATGAAGTTGGTAGTCTGACACCTGCATCTATTAGTTTTCCACAATTCATTTGTTTTTCTAACCATTTCGGGATATGCTCTCCTATCCTCACATGCAAGCACAAATACCCCTCTCTATGTGTGTGTGACTACACACACAAAAAAAATTGGTAAATATTGTGGGATGTGACATAACCACTTGTTCACTTTTGAGGTTTGCAGTGGAGCATATTTTCGGCTTTTTCGATAATTACAAACCGTGCTGCATAATAAGTCCTACGGAAGACCGATTTTAATCTTTGTCTAAAAATCCTACTGTTTATTTCCCCGTTATATGGTAATTTGATGGAAACATTTTTCCTAGGGGCAGTATAGATTGTAGGTTGAAAGACTAATTGACTTCTACACCTGTTTAAAATTTTTTTGAAGGATATCCGTTTTCAACAAGAATATCCAACAATATTTCATTTTCTTTGTCTGTAGCATCAGCCGTGAAAATACGTTGAATCCCCTTAAATAGACATTTCACCAAGCTTCTCTTATACTGTAATAGACAGAAACTGTGAAAATTAAGGTATTGCCACTTGCCCAAGTGGGCTTTCTGTAGATCTATCGTCTTACTGAACCGTCCTCTCTTCAACTCAGAAGTATGTCTAAAAATGCAAGTTGGTTGCGACTTTCTTCCCCACATGTAAGACTAATATGATTCTGTACAGAGTTAAGTCTATCTAATAGACGACTCACAACTTCATGATTGTCACATATCAAAATGATGTCATCTATGCATCTCCTATGGAAGGGTAATTTAGAAATTAAATCAAGGGACAAGTTCCCAACATAAGACATTGAATAGCGCTATCCCAATTTATACAAGGGACCGATTGTTTTAAACTAGTGTAATGTGTCTAGTCTTTTGTTTGGTGCATGCTGAATTCTATCAGTCAGGTTTGTAATGTGACCACTATTCTAGGTAGCTCGCCATCACGGTACCCTTTGAATTGTTTGTGTTAGATGGTTGGAAGTAATCGGAAGGAAGCCTTGCTTTACCTAGTTTTCATGCTAGTTGTCACTCACCAGTCAGCGAGGTGGGCGTGTATTTGCACCCGCCTTGAAGGAGCTCATGTCCCCTTCTCTACCACAGTGCCCAGGTTTTATCTTTATATTGACGCTTGTTGGTGTTGGTAGTCGGGTATTATTTTTTTAAAACTTATGTGCCTATCCTATTACTATTATTATTATTGAATCTTCATTTATTGATTTATTCTAACAGATGTGTTGCATTCCAAGATCTTCTAGTAGTACCATCATCACCGACACAAGTTGGCTTTACATTTGATGCATTTTATTTGAATACAGCTGGAACAGTTGTCCCGATTGTCTCCAATCTCTACTTACATTGTGATACACGTGTTTGTGATATCAGAGAGACAAGTGAACATTGTCAACAATTTTGTCGTTCACCAACAATACTCACTTCGACAACAACAACAACGGCGACCTCAACGTTGATAACAACACCAGGGGATAACAGTAGCAGTGGGGCTAGCAGTAGTATTACTAATAATGATATTGTCAATAGTAATATAACAACATTAAGAACAACACTAGAAACTGATAACACCACTACTAGTCTGTTGAGACGATACAAACGTGATGGAAGTTTAATTAATCCAAAGATTATGCATCCACACGGTCGTGTGAATATAGAATCTGGTGAAATGACAACAGTAGGACAATAATGGTAAGATAATGCGTTATACATTAACTACTAACTTGAACATCGTTTTTTTATTGCGTAATTATTATTTTATTTACTTTGTGTTCTGAGTGGAACATCATAGGCTTTGAAAGTTTCATTAACAGTGATGTTTATGCTCTCTACAGGGTATGAGATATGGTTGTTTAGCCTAACTCACGTTCAACGCTCCGTCTTTACCGGAATAAATACTGTCGGCTAAGCAAGGTGTTTAGGAGTGTCTCTATCGGGGATCGAACGTTGGAGCATGTGTATGGCGTGGTTGGCATTAATTTATTTACTAACATAAATCAATGTGGGGCACATAATCACACATCACGATAAAGAAATAAAGAAATAATGGCCAGGGGTCGCTCAATGTCGTGAATTGGTAGAAGTTAGAATTTATGGGCCATTGGATCGGGTCCCAGTGGCTTAATGGTCTACAAGCTCGCTGGTCTTGTAACCAGAAGGTTCTGGGTTCGAGCCACTGTGGTGGGTGCGTACTGCTGAAGAGCCCCAAACTAGGCTGACGAAACAGTTGTCCAGTACTCCCAGCTGGTTTTCTAGTGGTTCTCTAACCGATATCAACTCATGATGAAATTCTGTAACCACTCGACCAAATCCCTACAAACCAACACTTAAAGAAATCAGAGTAGAATTAAAAGAAGAAGAGGTCTACCTGAAAAATGAGGTTTCATGTATTGACGCAATACGTTTTGAACACGTATAAACACACAATCTGATCATACGCACACACATTTACCTGTCAAGTCATTTCATGTGCAAAATGAAGGCCAATTATGATAGTATAACTCAGATTAGGATTACTAAGAGTGTTATGACTGTAGGGAATTGAATGAAGACGTTTTCACCTTGCTCTGTCTGCGCCTGAACTAATCTGCCTATCTGCTTGTCGTACCTTCCGATTTAGTCAAGCACGCAAATATCAAAAACAAAGGCTGGACTGTGACTGTGTATTGAAGTGCAACAACGATAAAGAAAGCCATGGTATTTATACATTTTACAACAATATGGACAGCTAACAGCATTTGAAATAATTTATCTTAATAGCCAATAACAAAGTGCGTGAGAGATGATAATATACCATATGTGCGAGATTGACAGTCAATGACAAAATGTGTGGGTATGATAATATACCATATATACAAGATTAAACAGTCACTACCAAAATGTGTGAGAATGATAATATACCATATATACAAAATTAGCAGTCACTACCAAAATGTGTGAGAATGATAACATACCATATATACAAAATTAAACAGTCAATACCAAAATATGTGGGATCCTATCATAGAGATAGATTAAGAATAATAGTAAATTGATTGTATAAACACATATAGGAGAAGGAGGGCTTAATTTCGCGCATAGCTATCGCCTGTATGTATTTCAGTGTGCTCTCTCCACCCCACCCCACCCGCCTAAATAATGACTCTTATAGATAATCATCAAAGCTGTTTTGATATCAATCAGTAGAACACGAAGACTTGGTGGAGGGATGTTTATTTGCAATTTGGTATCTCTTTATAGCCGAATTATGTAATACTTATCCTTAACGCACCATTTTTACCGATCTTCCGTGTTGTACTACTTCTGGCCTTCCGTCATATTGTGTTTTGTTTTGTGTGTTCATTTCACGACGTCTCCCATGTATCTCCACTACGCTATATCATTTGCTTTCTCTACTCTGACATTAAACCTATCTCCTTGCTATTTGGTGTTTTTTTTATATCGACGAACGTCTCTTAATATACTACTGATAAATGTTATCAGTAGCATACGCCACAGCTTTTGAGTTCATTTGAGTATATGCTCTCCCACCCTCTCACGTACAAAACGCGCTCACTCCTTCCTATTTAGGTATGATCACATGCACACACATTTAAATTGATATACAATATGTGAGATGTGACATAATCATTTATGCAATGTTTGAGGCTTGTGGCAGAGTATGTTTTGGCTTTTTTCGGTAACTATAAGCCGAGCTGTATAGTAGGTTCTACGAATGCCGAAGTTTAGTTTGTAAGGTGGTAAGTTAAATGTGGACATCTTTCTTGGGGATAGAATAGACTCTATACGCTTTGAAACTAACTAACTGACCTCTGTCTACCGGTTTTGACAAGTACATTCGTCAAAATTTCACTCTCATTATCTATTTAGCATCGATTATCATATATAAAAAAACCCATAGAAATTAATTTTTTTCAATAACTATTTCTAATTTCCTACTACTCTATTTTGGTTTATCATTATGGTTTGTTGAATACGTCCTTCATGAAATATTGTCGAATCAATTTATATGGAAAATGACAGGCCATTTATAATTTTTTTTTACATTATTAGGGCAAATTGTTGGTTGGTGACCAGCAGTGGGATTTAGGGCGCACATTTCGTTCCACTTTTGGACTCGTCAACTGTGGATGTACTTGCATTCCCCAATCAGTTAGCGATGGTGTTCCCACTGAAATCCGAGTCCAGTACCTGTCATTGCAAACGCTAAAGACCACTAGACCACCTCTTTTGCAACCAGTGTCAGTTATTATCCAATTCGATTTGAACTTCCCCGTTGATTGATTGGACCGAAGGTTAATATGTCAACCTGAAGCCGAACTTTTCAGTCCAATCAAGCAATGCGAAAGTTCAAATTGAATTATATTTAAAAAATGATTGGTGATTTAAGAATATGAGGAATAATAATTAAGACTAGTATTGTAACGACAGAAGCCAACAGGTCATTTATTGAGAAAATCAACAGATATTTATATATTTTTATGTAAATCGTTATTCGTTATTATTACCAGGGAAACAGCGTCTTCTGATTGGTTGTTTTATCACTGAAAGTTACACTGTCATCTCTATATGGCCGTTTCTTTGATGGTCAGACCACATATCTGCTAATCGTATCCACCCACGGAAAGTCTGCTGTGATTGGTTATTGAGTCAGTCTTTGTTCTTGTGTTTTTTGTCTCATGACCAAGATTTAGGAGGTAAACACTGAGGTAAATTGCTATCTACCAATTTTGGCTAGCAGACAGCTCTCACCACAGTATTCGTAATATAACCAGATGAGAATTACCGAAGTGAAAGTAAGTGTGGGAAGGAGAACTTATATCCTCTTAACAGCTAGTAAAAACAAGTGTGATATAAACGTGACTGACAGACTACCAACTTCGTCTGTAGGTTTTTTTCCCTTCACGTTTCCAGTGGAACATAGGGCTTCAAGCTGGTGGCTTGAAGTTTCTGCAGTAGTGTTTATTTTTACAGGATGGGGTTGCTAGCCTCATGCCCAAGCTTTCCTCTTTACCAGCATTATTTCTGGCTTAGCGAGGTTAAGGATTGCGTCGGCCGGGGATCGAATTCCGGACCATGTGCATGGTTGGCGGGCGTCCTAACCACTGTACCACCGACGCACTAGTCTGTAGTAAAACAGCTTAATTGATAGGAATCACCAGATTGATATCAAAACAGATTTCGAGATTATCTGTACAAATCGTCAGGGGAAACTATTGATTGTTATCATCGTATATCATATTCACTCGATGAAGTACACTGACTGGAACGAATGTTCCTGCAGGTACTACCATAGGGATAGCGGTGAGACTAGAAGCACTTACCACAAGGGTATTGAGAGTCTGAAGGCGAAGTAAACAAATAAGTAAGTAGCAAGGTGTTTCTCACGAACGAAGAGCTCTTCTACTTGTCTCTCTCTACTCTACAGAAAGGAGATTATGAAAAGTCAACCCTTCTCCCAGAAAAGTGCACACCTTGGCTTACCCTTTGACTGTCCGTGGCCAAAGGTAAAATAAATCTTCATATAATTTTCTTTTATCACAGCTTGATTTCACACCGTATTTTTGGTACAAGTATGGAATTTTCAGCATGTGATTTCGGTAGCCCACATTTTGCAGGCCGACCATAGATATCAGGTGTATGTCGGCAGGGGATCGAACCCCGGGCCATTTGCATGGTCGGCGAGTGTCCTAATCACTGTGCCACCGGCACATACGGACATACCTTCAGAACCAGTCTATACCAAACTGTTACATACCTCAATTCGTGTAGGTTTTAAGTTAGCAGTGGTGTGGCGTGTTCTACTAACAAGATTTATCAGTAATTTATAAAGAGACATTCATCAGCTTACAAAAATATTGATTAGTGGGGAGATAGATTTGAGAGCAAATGAATTAGTGTGTTGCAGCAAAACACGGGAGACGCGTAAAGAAAGAAGATAAAGAAAAACACCATAGGCAGGAAGGTCAGAAGTAGTAGCACAACAACAGAGGAGATCTGTACAACTGGTGCGTCGAAGATATTATTATTATTGTTCCCTTCGAACCCCTGGTAACATAGGGCTTCAAATGCACGTCTCCACTTGCCACTTCTGTCTTCCTTGTGCTGTACTTTTCACCTGCATCCATGTTAGTCCATACTCTTTCGACTCCTCTTCACACGATCTCCTCCATGTCACCCTTGGACGTCCCACACGCCACTTCCCTTTCGGGTTCCACTCGGGCAATGGCTTGATGCGCGATGTCACTCGGCGGCCTCCTCAGTGAGTAGTGTCCAATCCATCCATCTCCATTTTCTCCTGCATATTTGTTGGGCGATTGGTTCTTGCTTTGTTTGTTCCCATAGTTTCTTGTTGGTGATTCTTTCCGGCCCGGCTATCTGATCTTCAGTATAGAGCGGAGACAGTTGTTGTTGATAAAGGTCTGCAACAGCCTGTTGGAAATATTCTTTGTGACCCGCCAGCCAAGTTTCTGATCCGTATAGAAGAACTGACTGACTTGACGTTTGTATTGAAAATCCGACCGAATTTTGTTGTTGATCCTGGCTGAGTGACGAAGATTTCCAGATTGGTTTCAGGTTGATTGATGAATGTGTTTCTCGCCTTCCCGATTCTCACTCGATTTGACATCCTCGTCCGTTCCGACTTCCTGTAGTTGAGACAATGCTCCCTAGATAAGTGAATGAATTAACCTCTTTCAAATCCCTCCCGTTGATGGTGTAGATAATTTCCCCATATAGAGAGATATCAAATACCAAATAAACATTCCGTTACCAAGTCTCTTGTCTTCTACAATAGGAGAGAAATCTGATTGCCTATGGTGGACTAAACATCCTGGTGATGAAATAAAAAAACAATATATTTGATGTTTAAACAGGCGTCCGCGAAGGAAAAAACCTACTTGGGTATTTATAAAGGTAGCTTGAATCATTCATATTTAACCGCTGAAAGACCCTGGATGTTTGTGTACACAGACAAAATTATGGTGTTTTTTAAGACAAATATCTGAGCATGTACTGTTCTTCATGTCTCTTTATTTCCTGTTCTTGTTACTTTCATTGAATGGGGGAAGTGATGGAGAATTATTTGTCGGAATTCCTTTTTAGAAGCACTGACATACCGACGACAAAGGCTAATCATTTCAGTCGGTCCAGTCAGAACAAACAAAAAAGATAGGGAGATTGAAATGTAAATCTGTTCTTCTCACCTTCAGGATTTTATAGACTAAATATTTAAACAGTGTGAGAAGTAAGGAGTTACTTATGATCTGATCAGCATAAGAATAATATAAAGTTTTTGATATCAAGTGGTGAGTGTGAGAATGCGTTCGATTTTGAGAAAAATGGACGGCTATGATTTCGCATATTAATTTGATGGGTTGGATACATATCGCAAACTTAGTGATGAGACAGAAATTTTTACTGGTTGACAATGTTTGGAACACACATTATTATTAATCATAATCATTATCCATCATTTGTAAAAAGCTGTACAATTTCGATATTTCATAGCCAAAGTGGTAGTAAGGAGTTAATTGGTAGCCGGTCACTAGCAGATGCGTATTTCGTCCTATTTGAAGCGGAGTGTAGCTACATCCAGATGACGAGTCCCAAATGGGACGAAATGCGCATCCTCGATTTCTCTGCTAGTCGCCATCCATCAATTAACTTCTAATTACTTAATAATAATAATTTGCTTTATTCCAAAACAGTACTTGTGATACATAATGGAATTCTCAGCATTTTACTACAGTATTGTATCCAGTAAGTACATTAACAATAAATAAAATTCCACATAGATTGAGGGTAATCTCAGTTAGTTATGACAACAACATATTCGCATGTCTGTAGCAAAGCCAAAATTGTACAGAGTATTTGAAGGTGTTAGAAAAGTAAATGTTAGCATATTTACTGGCGCAAGTGGTAACAAAAAGCTCGAGATATACAGAGTATGAAAGAACGAAGAAGAATGTTTTAAATAGAGTTTGTAAGGAAGAGAGAAACAAAGCAGCATATAACAAAAACAAAAAAAGAGAAAAGGAAAAGGAAGAGAGAAAAACGTTGTACCTATAAATGATATTAGTTGAAAAGACGAGATCCAGTTGTCCTACTGACTATCTAATAAGTTATAGACATCATTCAAGCATCTGCACAAGAAGCCGACACGTCAACCTGAGTCCGAGCACTTCGGTCCAATCAATCGACGAGAAGATCTAAAATTGAATTAAACAAAGTGGTTAATCGCAACGCCTTATTTCACTGTGACGCTCTGACAATATGCTTGCTAATGGACAAAATATTCAGGTTGTACGCAGCTGATGAGAACCGACGAAATAAAATGGATCCAGATTATTCTGCGCCAATGTTTCTTCTTTCTTTGTTCAAATATATAAAAGGGAATCATTGTTTGAAAGTGTTAGTCGTTGGGCGGAGTCAGTTGGATTAACAGAGCACAAAAACTTAGCAAAATTTGGATTACTTGGGAAGCTTATAGGATAAGAAATCCAGAAGGCGATATGTCGATAGAGGTTGAACATTTCAGGACAACCAATCCACAGAAAAATCCGAATTGAATAAAGTATATAAATAATAATTGACACCTGTTGTACAACAGGTGGCTCTCGTGGCCCAAATGGTCTAGTGGGTGACTCTTTGGAGTTTGAAATGACAGGTACTGCATTCCAGCCCCAGTGGGAACACCATCCCCAACTCATTGGGGAATGCAAGCACATCCACAGTTGACGAGTCTCGAAGTCGGACGAAATGCGCACCTTAAATTTGACTACTAGTCACCATCTACCAAATTACTTCAAGTTAAGTCTAAAAAAGTAGCTCAGCTGTAACAATATATACACATTCACGCACAGCCAATACAATAGGATCTCTCATGATGACAGGGTGGAGAGGGGAAACCTATATCTGGTGCTTTATTTATCAAATATACTGAGAAGGATTCGAAACCTGTTGCGGAGATTTATAAGATTCTACTCCCCTTACAATAATTCGGGGAGGAGGAAAGAGAACTGCAAAAATTCAAGTTTCAAAATTGTGTAGTTACAATTGAAGGTATGATTATGAACAGTAATAATTGGTTGTGCTCACAACAGGGTCACCCAATAAATAGTACTGTTTTACTCTGTGTGTGTTTGTTTGTGTGATATTTTCAATAAACAAATCGATATGGGATTACTTACTACAACAGTGGTCAAGTCCTACTTATAATATACTAAGAATTTCTGTACAAAGTCTTATTGAAAACCAATTGCTGATGTATCCCAACAAATACAAAATAAAGTCAATTAGCACTTTCTCTCGTTTAATCGATCTCCGACGTTTAATATAAATATCAGAATGTATGAGACCATATACTACTGACTGGTTGAAATAAGTGGTTGTGTGCCACCAACATCAAGCAGTAGTGTTTGCTAGCCGCCAGTCAAACTGAAATGATCATCCAAACACCGATCGGTCGGTTCACTTGTCCTGGGGTCGAGCTCATCAGCAATGCAGTCGGCTTGACTCACCTCAGAGAGAGAGAGAGAGAGCGGAATCAGTTCAAATTAACACCACCACATAGTGTATATTAAAGGCCTTATTTTCAAACTATGAAGAACTACATTCAATGTCCTACAACTCTAAACTTTGACGGATGAAGAGGATTTTGAAATTCCCGCTGACTAACTTCTGAATTGCTCAGTCGCAGATGACGTGTTCTCTCCTATTACGAGACCACTCGATTCTATCTTGGCTAGCAGAAGAATCTAAGATTCGTCCTGTGAAGGTAATTGGATCCCCACTGAGACCAGAGTGCAGTACTCACCCATTTTAAACGCTAAAACGTTATCCCACCAATCGATTGTGGGTTTTCGCATTCACAAATTGACGCGTGTTGATGGAAATCATTTTATAACTTTACTGGGGATAAAAGTACGCCCAGATAACGACTACCACTGAATCGAATGAAGCGCATTACACGGATTCTACCAAACCAAATAACATCTTGTGATCTTTTCTTTGTTTTGTTTTTTTTTTCATTTCAGATTCAAGAGTATCGTCACAGATTTATCTCAAACAGATTGCTGTTACAAAAACACTCAATGTATCATTTAGTGTGAACAAATGAAGATCTTTTTTTATACATTAAAAAAAACAAAAAATAGTTCTCTTTTATCCTTTTTTTAAAAAATAAAAAACACCCTCTTCCATTACCTGTCTACCACATTTACCCGGCGTATATAAATACAGTATTATTATTATCGTTGTTACACATTTAAGTTTATATTCAATAAATCAATAGTATCGTTTTAGGCAATACATAAAAAATGAGCGCACATTTTAAATTTTTGTACTAGTATTTATTAATTTTATGAATTAAATATAAAAAATTGGGGTTTGTGTCACAAATTAACTTTGTTCTTTTTTCTTTCACCGAAAATTATATTTTAAAAAACCAATTCACTTTAAATTTTTGCAAAATTACACAGTTTGAGTCGAAGATTCGTCGCAGTTGCCTTGTGATAGATAGTATAAATGACAATAAAAGGCAGCAAGAGATGTAGCGTGATGGTATATATATATACTACTCGCCGACTAATATAAGTAGTTGGATATGACTGATGTCAACCAGTAGTGTTTATATAGTTGAATAGAAGTGATCTAGACACCGGACGGGCGGTTGTTTCACTGGTCTGAGATCGAATTCACCAGGCATGAAAAGTTCTAGAAAAGTGCGAAGTGGATTTCTTGATCTGAAATATAGGAATAAGGACATTCTATCCATTTGGCAGACAGATTACATACAAGCAATCGAACTTTAACAAAATTAATTGATTGTCATTATTGAAATGACGATCTAATAAGTACTGTTTAGTTGAATCGTGCCTACTAAGTGTTATGAAAAACCTCTTTAATACGTATTTTAGGTTACCATTTGTCTTGGTGGGTATTCTCTCCTTTACGTTCCCAGTGAAATACAGGGCTTCAAGCTAGAGGCTTGAAGTTTCGGTAGTAGTGATGTTTATTTTTTACGGGGTGGGGTTGCCAGTCTTATGCCCAATCCAGTCTTATTACTGGATTAGTGAAAGAAAGCAGTGCGTCGGCCGGGGATCGAACTCCGGATCACATGCCTGGTCGGCAAGCATTCTACCGCTCTGCCACCGACGTACTTTAGCTATACACAGTTGGTGTAGGCGTGAACGTTTAGAATGGTTGAATTTAGCTCCCTCTTTTTTTCATTCTTTCCCGTTCCTGGTAGAAAATAGGGTTTCAAGATTGGAACTTGAAGTCTCAATATCAGAGATGTTGTTTTTATGGGTGTGTGGCTGTCAGCCTATAACTCACGCCTGACTGTAACCCTTACCGGACTTACTATCAGTTAGTAAACTAGCCGATGTGTAGGAGTCAGTCACTCAGGAATCTATCCCAGGCATTCAGCCCTATAAATAACTTCAAAAGGTTAGTTGCTTAGGAATAAGTGACCTGACTCAGGAAGATCATCATAAATAGAAGGCTTCGTCATCCGATATTTACATTTCATCAGGGAACAGAGTAACACTTGTTTATCATGTCCAACATGACTACCTACCTCCCCAAAAGCATGTGAAAGATTAGACATATACAGAAGTAATATAAACGAGAGGTTATTCTTCATACATTGTGGAATGATACTCTAGAATATCAGGCATAAGTAGACTGCTTATGATGAAATGCATTTGATATATTTGGATAAACAACTTATAAGTATCTCTCTGCAGTGGTATCCTCTTTGGATGCCAAACAGGATGTCATGACTAGGTGATATAGGTAAGAGAAACCCTGCAACCCAACACTTGAATATCATAATCACCGTCTTCTTCGACAGGCATTGGTTTGAATCACTCCACTAAGGTATCTATTGTTTAAGTGCATTATGCTAAGGTAATCGAATACCTTGTCGATTATATCATTAGTACAGATTTTTGAGAACTCGAAGAATGGATAAAGTTCCCCTCTTTCAGATAGGAGTTAGTGTATACTATCTTGCAGAGATTGGTTTTCAGTAGGTTGATCTTTAGACAGAAGCTATCATTTCTTCTGTTTATAATATACTATCGAAGAAATGAAGTGTATAATTCAACTCTCCTTCGATTGTAAAACAAGCTCTGAGATGGTCAGCAGTTGAAAGGTTTTCTTCTCAAGAAATATAATGATAACATAGAAACAAGGGTGCTATAGAGAATGATCGATGACTCAATGTTTATCAGGCAAAACGAAAATATAAAAAACGTGACGTCTTAGAATATAAACGCATCTCTTATTGCAAACAACTGTGGGTCTTGATATAATAATGATAATAATAATAATAACTACTTTATTCGAAACAACAATGATTTTACACAGTGGAATTTTTATATTTAGTTGTATGCGCGTAAATTCTTATGAAGTTTGTTCTGGTTTTATCCAAAGAGATACAAGGCAAAAGTTGAGAATAAGCAGAGAGGATGTTCAGTATCAGACACGATAACTTTGGCCGAATGACTGCTTGCAGGAATTGAAGTACCTATTGACAATAATGTCAGTTAAGTGAGTCAAAGCATAAGGTGAGCGACATTGAGGTTAGGCGTCGAGTTCTAGGTAAACAGGGGAAATCAATCGACGAAGTCGTGAAGCTACAAAGACTGAGATGGTTAGGACATGTGTTACGTATGCATGGCTAGTCATCGCCTTCCTCGACGAGCAATGTTAGCGGATATAGGGTCAGGCTGGAAAAAAGCTAGCGGAGGTCAAACCAAAACATGGCTTCACCAGTTAATCAAATCTACAACAGTTGGTCTAAGCCACGTAGGAAGGTGTAGACTTCCAGGCTGGGGTCCTCGGGACGGTAAAAATCTATGGTTGGAAACAATTGGTGACATGGCTCAAAATCGTTCTCAGTGGCGCAGATGCATACACTCCTTGTGACTTATGATCTCCAATGAAACTGTTTTGTTCTTCGTTATTACTCCTTTGTCTCACATCTCTGCTCACTGTTTCTGTTATGCTTTTCTTATACTTTCTTCTCTTGCTTCGCGTGCTACACGGAGTGTGGCGACTTGAACTACCGCACATTTGTGCAAAGTTCTATGTCGAAAACAGACAGACAGAGTCAAAGCCACACTACTAACCTTACTTACAGCCTTCAGTGTTCTACGTAATATGACATAATCTTTTTTGAGAGAAGTCCACCAGGGAAGAATAAGTGGGGTGAACAATAAAGGAAAGGAGAATGAGCAGAATACATGAATTGATAAATTGTAAGAGAAGAGGTTGAGTTTTATAAGTCAAATGGAGAATTTTCTTAGAAATCAACAGGTTATATGACTACCAACAGAGATTCAAAGACGAACTGGTACCGAGATGAGAGATATTCAATTTACTGCCCATCACAGTGCTGTTAATATTACAGGAATCATGCGACTGAGTCAGATCACGCAAGTCTTGTTCGCATCTGAAATTAAAATCAACAATATGAAATTTAGATGAATTCCGTCTAAGATCATTTAGTTGAGACCATTTGTTAACTTCAGACAAGAATCTATTCATGATAAAAGAACAATCCAACGCAGAAACTGCTGGGACAGAAATGATTACATCATCGGTATATTTAATGAAGTTAGCTGTGGAAAGTCATGCGAAAAGGAAGTAAAAAGAAATGGAGAGGGAACAGCGCACTAAGTTTTTGTTAACAACTAAATGGAACGCTTTCCATTGAAAACAGTATTTTGTTTTCTACCCGAAAAATAAGAAGACAGTCAGCCACCTTGTGATCGAGGACTCAGTGTTTCCTGAAATCAGCTTGCTTAGTAAAAGTACCTTATGAATACAGCCAAAAGTAGCAATGTCGTCTAAAAAAGGAGACTCGAACAAACTTTGCACCTTTATCAAGACTTGAAACAATATTTTGGTGGAGTACAACATCATCTAATGTGCTTCCGCTGTATTTGTAAGCAAACTATTTCGCATCACTGAAAAATTTCAAAGAAGGTTTAAAAACTTGGAAGAGAAGTTTCTCCATAGATTTCAAAAATGGCAACTGGTCTCAACTTTAGATCTGATCCAGAAGACGACTTTGGTACAGGCACCACCTTTATTTCTTTCAAGGCAGCAGGTACTGTATCTCTGTGAAACAATGTATAAAAGATTTGGGTAAGACCATAACACAAAATACCAGCACACTTTTGAAGCAAAATGCTTGGTATACCATCGGGTCCTAAGTTGTGCGAGCGTAAATCGAATACTTACAAGTGACAACACACAATCAGTGATGAGCTCACTTGTTTCAAGAGTAATATCTTCAACCTACTGTACTGAAAGGTATATTTTGTCCTTTGTTATCTGCTGCTCTCTTCGAGTTTCTACTTTAGAGGCTTTCCTATTAGTGTTACTTTACACAAACTACTTATACTCATTTATAAGTAATTTAATAATTCCCATTGTAGAATTAAGAACACAATTTTCAGCGAAGAGACTCTTTTCAACAATGAATTTATTATCAAGCTGTACAATCGTATATATATGGTTTTATAAAGAAATTATATCCAGTGGGGGAATTGGATCAAAGGTGTGAATACATGAAATAATAATAGTATGAAATGCAATTAAAATATTTTTGATTATAATCATGGTTAAATGTCAAGTGGCAAAATAACTTATGTCATATATAGAATAATACATAAGGTGTATAGATTTTGGAAAGGTATACATGATTATAAGATTAGTAGACGAATATAAAGTGTTACATAACAAGGTGTGAAATTTGATAAGATAGAATTAAATATTGTAAAATTTAAAAATATAAAAATTAATAATTTTGGGTTTAAAATGACAAGTAGGTCAATTGGGAAAGATTCTGAGTGAGAATAGTAATAATAATAATAAAAAATAATCGAAGTAATAAGGGAAAAGGCAAAAGGGACCTGAGGACACTACATCAGATAACCAAATCTCTATCCGGGAAGAGACCAACACAGGCGAAACCTATAAAAGACAGCCAAGGGAAGCCTATTACCAAGGAAGAAAAACAGATTAAACAATGGGCGGATCACTTCATAGGACTCTTGAACCGACCATCACCTGCAACCCGTCCAGAAATACCAACAACAGCGC